GTCCTCACATGTGACCTTCCTTCTCCCTTTTCTATGCCCTTGTAAAGGCCATCCCCTTGCCTATAATGTACCACCTTTTCACTTTCACTTCAAAGACCTTGGTTTGCTTCACCTCTCAGCTGTTGAAACCTGAAACCGTTCTTGATCTAAGTGCCTCTTCCTCCAAATTACCTTGCATTTATTTTGTGTAGACCCATGTGGAGATGTTTGTTTTCCCCTGTAGAATGTGAATATATAATATAGAATTCCCTATAGAATGCCTGAGAGCAGTCGCTATTTTAATAGTTCATGTCTTAGAATCACTGGCATACTGCCTGGCAAATGTCTGGTGCTTAATAAATGTTTGTGGTTGGTGAAACAAGCCTGAGTTTCCTGGTCTGTTAAAATGAGGATAATAATGCCTTGCTGTTTACTATATAAGACACTGTTAAGCAGGGAGGAAAAAAGGTCAAGTAGGAGAAGACTGAAAAGGGCACTGGATTTACAGTTAAGAAATCATTGGTAACCTTAGAAAAAGCAAAAATTGTGGGAATTAAATGAGATTATGTATGTTAAATGCTTTTTTCATGGTTCAGCTTTTTTTTTTTTAGTTTTTAGGCAGTTGGAGTTAGGTGACTGGCCCAGAGTCCCATAGCTAGTAAGTGACAAGTTTTTGGTCTGAGGCTGGATTTGAACTCAGGTCCCCTTGACTTCAGGGGCGGTGCTCTATACTTTGCGCCACCTAGCTGCCCCTTCAGCTTTTTTAAAAAGCATATTTTAATTCACTTTAACTCTTTTGCATTACTTGTATCTTTATATGCTTCATTTACTATTTTTAATGGTGCAATAATAAATATTCCATTAACTTGACCTTTAAATAGACGGCTGCTGAAGTCTCTTCCAACACTTAAATTATATGATTTTTAAAAATTTAGTTGTAATTAATATATGGTCTTATTCTGCTAATCATGCTTCAGTTCACTTCATAAAAAGTCTTTCCATATTTGTGTTCTTCATATTTGTTTTTAATGACAGTATGTAAAACAGTGTGATACAGTGGATAGAGAGCCAGTCTTTTAATCAGGAAGTTGTTGTTGTTCAATTGTTTCAGTTGTGTCCAACTCATTGTGACCCCATTTTAGGTTTTCTTAGCAGAGATGCTGGAGTGGTTTGCTGTTTCCTTCCCAACCTCATTTTACAGATGAGGAAAGCAAGGCAAAAAGGGTTAAGTGACTTTCCCAAGGTCACACAGTTAGTAAGCGTCTGAGGTCATATTTGAACTCAGGTCTTCCTGCCTCCAGGCTTAGCACTCTACCCATTACATTATCTAGCTGCCCATAGTCGGGAAGACCTGGGTTCAAATTCTGTCCCTGACACACAAGAGCTCTGTGATCATGGTCAAGTAACAACATATGGCTTCTGGGCAACTCTCTAAGAATTTGTGTTATAGGAGATTGCTTATCTAAGTCTGTAGGGATTTTCAAATCATGAAATCATAAGTCTAAACTCTCCCAAGAACCTTCCTTTCTTCTCCCTTCCCACCTGCCAAGAGACCATAGTATCCTATTATATTAAAGTGACATTTATTTAGACATTCCACAATAATTGAAGTTTTGGACATGATGAATTTATGATGTCCATAGGAAATCCAGTTTGAGATGTCTAATTGGCAGTTGGAGACTGGAGGTTGGGAGAGAGGTTAGAACTGGACAAGTAGATCTGTGAGTAATTTCCGTAGAGATGAAAACTGTAAACATGGGAGTTGATGAGTTCTCTAAGTGAAATAGTATAAAGGAAAAATAATAGGATAGGCTTGGGGGACCCATATGGTTAATGGGTATGAACTGGATAAAGATCCAGCAAAGGAGACTGGGAAAGGGCAGTCAGATAACAATGTCACAAAAACCTAGAGAGAAAAGAGTATCAAAGAGGAGAAGGTGATCAACAGTGTTAAAGGCTGCAGGGAAGTCAAGAAGGAGGATTGAGGAAAAGGCCATTTGATTTGACAATTGATAGAGCATTTGTTTTTGGAGAGAATAGTTTTGGTTTAATGATGAAGTTGGAAACAGATAGCAAAGAATCTTGGTTTGCTACTATTTAAAGTGAGGAATTTGGACTTTGGGTAGCTAGATGATGCAGTTGATACAGTGCGAAGTCTAGAGTCAGAAGATTTGTCTTGGTGAGTTTAAATCTGTCCTCAGATACTTAGCTGTGTGACCATGGGCAAGTCACTTGACCCAATTTGCCTCAGTTTCCTCATCTGTCAAATGAGGTGGAGAAGGAAAGAGCAAGCCACTCCAATATCTTTGCCACGAAAACCCTAAATAGGGTCACGAAGAGTCGAACATGATGAAAAACGACTGGAAGATAACAACAAAATTTGGACTATAACATCTCTGAACTCCTAGTTAGAAATCTTGGATTCAAGTCAGTTTTTCCTATCTGTAGCATCTCTTATGACCAGGGCATTTTTAAGTGATTCCACAATGAAAATCTCTTACTATTTTTTTTTCAATTCATGGAACACTGTGTGATGAGTACTATTAATGCCTGTTAAATCTGACACAGGTCATACAACTTTGTCTGCAGTGATATAGATGCCCTGTAAGAACTGGTGATTGGCAGGAACTATCATAGTTCTCATTAGGAACTATGACTTAATTGTATTTATTTTGTTGGGGCAGTCTGGCTTCCTAGAATCAACCATAAAAGCCTGCCTTCTAACAGCTTAGTAACATGTTTCTCTAATTTTTTTTCTTTCCAAGTCTTCCAAGGAAATTAATAGACTGCCTTTTCACTGAAATTACTTTAAGACAGGGTAAAGTTTTGTAGCTACGCAGAAAATGAGAATAGGCTTTAAAAAATTAAAACAAAGAAACTTGCTAGAAAAAATAGGTGGACAGTCTTTCCTTTAAGTTCTTATTGAGAAGACAAATAATCTCTTCTGGGTTTTCCATTATTTTGTTTTTTTCTCCATAATAAGCATATTCATCAGGCAAAGAACTGAGTGCCAGTATTGTTGTTGTCACCCATGGGGGAGTATGCTGAGTTTTCTAACAAGTAGTTCATGTTCTTGAATTAATTGGGAATCTTTATATTAGCAATTGATTCTTATACTTAGATTTTTAAATTCAAGACATCGTGAATGCATGTTTTTGTTTGTACCAGTAATCATATGCCAACACTTGATATATGCATTTATTTGTATATATATATATATTCTTATGTATGAAATTAAATATAAGATTTTGGCATTGTCTTAGAAGCAAGGAATAATGTCTTAAAAATTGGTAATGTGTCTTGATCTACTAATTTCTCTGCGCCAGTTAGTGCTATTAATGCTATCAATGTAGTAGACTTATTAAGGTATCTTTTTGTTTTCATTTTTTAGGAGGGCACTATTTGTTTGATACAGGATGTGTTTGGGAGCTCTTTTTAGGTGATTGTCATAAAATATAAACAGCAGTAGGTTGTTCCAATGGCTATGGTTATATAAAGATTTTAGAATTATGTGGGAGAGATTGTGTTATTTTTCCAAACAAGTATGAAAATGTAATATCCTTTAGTGGGAGCACTGTATGTTCTTTTGCTTGGATATTTGTTCAGTAATTCTAATAAAATAATGACTGAACTTGTCTGGGAAAATACTGTGGATGCCACACCTATTGATACTTTGATCCTTGATTTCTAGGCAGAGATAATGTGCAGTCTAGTCCAGGCCTTCTTAAACTTTTTCCACTTGCAACCCCTTCAGTGCTTCTTAAACTGTGGGTTGCAGCCCACAGTTTAAGAAGCACTGTAAGCGACTACAGACTCCATGAAGGTGGGTATATAATAGGCATTTAAATATTTGTTGAATTAAATATCGATTTCTTAAGGATTGCCACTGCCTGAAATTTTCTCACATATTTGGCTTCCAAGATTCTTTGCATTTTACTAGATTAGTCCTCAAACAATCAGCTAGCTCATAATTTTGCATCTTGGTCCAGCATAGCAGTACTTGGATACACTGACATAATGCTGCTGTAACAAAGAAAATCTCTTCGATTGAAGAAGGACTTACATTCTTCAAATATCCCCATTCTTAATAGTATTTTCATTCTTTTCATTGTCACTGGCTTTTTGCCTTCTGCCTTCCATCATACATAGGTTTGTCCTATCTTGAAAAAACTTTATTTGATCGTGTTGTTGCAGTCTGAGAGGTTGTGACTCCTCAAAGACTGGAGTACATGATGGATTATCTGGAATGAATTCACAGACTCAAGCATTGTTTAAGTCAAGTGCCAAAAAGTTTATTGTTACACTTTTCAGCAGGCAAGGATTCTTAAGGATCCTGCAGCCTTAGAGTGGTACAGTTAAAGTTTATGCAGGATAAAATACAATAAAACATGTGCCAAATATGCTAGCAAGGTGATTCAGGGTGGAATTAGGGAGTGGTTAAGGAGTGGTCAGTTCTTAAAAGAACATGCACTTCTTGTACCTACTGCGCAGGCGTTTTACCCAGAGTTCACTGGGAAAAGCCCACAAGGGGGACCACATGGAGGTGTGGTTTTAAGCCTGCTACGTCACTAAGTTAACTCAGGAGTAACTGAGAGTTGTCTAGTCTGCCACCGATCAATGTCTTGTTTAACAAGATAGATGTAGGGAGTATACATATGTCTTAAGTCTAGACTACAGTTAATGAGGAGTCCAGGATGTAGATAATGAGGTAGGGTGGTAGTATAGATAGTCCAGTGGGTATGAATGTCTTTATGAACCAGTGCAAAGCCAGTTCAAACTAATAATTCCTTCAGGTGCTGTTTGTTACTGCACTAAGGAGAGAGATAAGGGTCTTGCTGGGGCCCACTCATGAGTAATTGCTAGGCACAGTGTCCTTGGGCTGGGGAGAAACTGTCAGGGATAGTGTTTCTGAAGCTAGGGAGAAATTGGGGTCCAAGCACAGGCACCCAAACACAAGCATCCAAGCACCCCATCACTGTTGTTGTCTCTAACTACTACCCTGTTGCTCTTCTTCTCTTTAGTGAAAAGAGCACCCTCATCTTAGATTCAGAAGACCTGGAGATGAGTCTCAAGCTTTATCACTTACTAGCTGTATGACCTCAGGTGAATGACTTCTCTCTTAATTTTCAGTTTTCTTGTCCATTCAATGAGGACATTAATATTTACATTACATACTTCATATGACTATTGTGAAAGGAAGACTTTTCAGGCTCTAACATTCCATGTAAATTCTAGCCATTTACAGACAAATTTTTCTGAGTGCCAAGCCTATTGCCTCTATTTCCTCATCACCCACTTTCTCCTTCACCTTATTTCATTACACTCATAACATCATTTATTTACCCATTCTTCAATAGGATACCCCATAATTTCCAGTTTTTTGCTATTATAAAAAGACCTGTTATAAATATTTTTATGCATGTAGATGTGTTTTCTCTTTTTGATGGTTTTGGCATATAGGCATAGTCGTGATATCACTGGGTAAAAGGGAATGCACAGTTTAGTGACTTTTGGTCATAATTTCAAATTGTTTTCTAGACTAACTGGATACATTCACAGCCCCTTCAACAGCACTTGTTTTACTGTAGATTCTCCAATAACTATCATTTTCCTTTTCCTTCTTTTTTTTTTTTGGGGGGGGTGTCATCTTTGCCATTGAATATGAGATGAAACCTCAGAATTCTTTAATTTGCATTTCTCTTATTATTAATGATTTAGAGCATTTTTCTTATGGTTGTTGAAGCTCAGATTTCTTCCTTTGAAAATCTTCTGTTCATATTCTGACCACTAGTCTATTGGAGAATGTTCTTATATGGTTAAGTCAATTCCTTATATATCTTGGATATAAGACATTTCTTTACCAGAGAAATTTACTGCAAAGATTTTTTCCTAGTTACCTGTTTCCTTTCTAATTTTAACTTCATTGGTTTTGTTTATGCAAAGCCTTTTAAAATTTTATGCAATCACAATTGTTCATTTTATCTTTTGTAATCCTTTCTATTCCTTGTTTGGCTTTGAACGCCTACTTAACTAGTCCATAAATCTGGAAGGTAATTTCTTTTTTCTATTCTATTTTATGATATCACCTTTTATGTTTAAGTCAGTTATGCATTTGAAGCTTATTTTGGTATATAGTATGAGGTGTTGGTCTGAACTTAATTTCTGCCAGACCATTTTCCACTTTTCTTATCAGGTTTTTATTGTTGTTGTTATGGTTGTTGAGTGATGAGTCCTTGTCCCAGTAGCTGGGGTTTTTTAGTTTAAGTACATAATCTGGTCCATTGATTGACCTCTCTTTTTTTAACTAGTATCAAATATTTTTGATGATTACTGCTTTGTAACATAGTTTATAGTTTACTTTATATCGCTTACTGTTTGCCCTCTTTTTCCAGTTTTTTATTATTTACCTTGAGATTTTTGTCCTTTTGTTTCTTTATATGAATTTCATCATTATTTTTCTAGCTGTATAAAATAATTTCCTTTAGTATAACACTAAACAAATGAATTAATTTAGGTATTATTGTCATTTCTATTACGTTGGCATGGCCTGCTGGCAATTAATATTTATTCATTATTTGTCTTTCTCTTTCTCCAAAGAGTGTTTTGTAGTTATGTTCTTGTAGTTCCTGGATATGTCTTGGAAAGTAGTCTCACAAATATTTTGCACATCAGATATTTTGAATGGAATTTTTCTGTCTTCTGCTAGATTTTGTTTGCAGTATACAGGAAAGCTGATTTATTTTATATCTTGCAACTTGGCTAATTTATTATTTCAGTTAATTTTTAATTTAGTCTTTTCATTGGCTTTCTACTACATAATACATGAGATGAAGTCCCTGGGTTTTAAAATATTATTAAATGCAATTTTTGTATTTTATGTGAGGGGATAGATAGTAGTATCCCTATTTTAAGGATGAGAAAAACGAGGCAGAGTGAAAGCTTTTCCAGCAATGTAGAATTTGGAATAAAATCTAGGTGTCCTGATTACTAGTACTCATTTCCCAAACCACTTTTCAGAGAAAAGTATGAAAATTTATTTTTAAAAATGAGTACTGAGTTGGTAGAATATTTTGAGTTTATTTTCCTGTTTTTTTCCCTGTAGAGGCTTTTTTAAAAAATTTAATTTTGATCAGAAAGATCAGATGCTTTTTGATGAAAGCAGTTTCCTGAGATATAGTTGTCTTGAATATTTTGTCTAGATATAAAGTAAAGCTTATGCATGGTGTAAGATGTGAAGATCATAAAATCTGTCTTTGTGCTGTTCTCTTTAGCAAGTAGCTTTCATTGCTCTTCAGGCAGACTTCAGAAAAACCTAGAAAGACTTGCATGGATTAATGCTGAGTGAAGTGAGCAGAACCAGGAGAACAATGTATGCAGCAACAGCCATGTTGTGCAGTGACTAACCTTCATAGACTTAGCCCTTCTCAGCAGTGTAGGAATCTAAGACATCTCCAAAGGTCACATGATGGAAAACGCTATCCACATCCAAAGAAAGAACTATGGAGTTTGAATGCTATTTTTTTCTTCTGTTGAGTTTTGTTTCCTCTTTCTGGTGGTTCCTCCTATTGGTTCTAATTCTTATTTATAACATCACTAATGTGAAAATATGTTTAATAGGAATTAATATGTATAGCCTATATTAGATTGTGTGTCATCCTGGGGAGGGAGGGGAAGAAAAATTTAGAGCTCAAAAGCTTATGGAAGTGATTGTTGATAAATCAAAATAAATTGATAAAACAAAACAAAAACTTTCACTACTCTTACACATGGACTTTCAGGACATGTTATGTAATAATAGTTCTGTATTTCTGTTTGGGTTATTTTCTCAGATTTGTGTAAAGTTGAACATGACTTCTTCCTTGGATGATGTTCGCTGTCTCCAGTAGAAGCTTTAAGTCTGTCATCTGATTCATGACATCTTTTATCCAAGAAAAGCCTCATGGAACTAGGTGACCTGTATACAAGTTTGATATTATGAAAGGGCATATATCTTTGTCTTGGAACTTAATGCTTTTGGGGAGAGAGGTGAATTCTTTCCAGCTCTGGACCTATGATGCTCTAGGCATTGCTACAGCTTTCATTGCACTGAAATAGTCTTTGAGAACTCAGGGCCACCTTCATACTATAGTGAGGCATCAGAGACTTTAATGGAGGGGGACAAAAACGGAATTAGAAAAGACGGTGTATATAGTGTCATGTTGAGTCTATTAGTGAGCTCTAAAACTAAGTGCTATGTGAGTCAGGAGAAGTGGCTTGTGAGTTAGACTTGAATGGGTAGAAGTTCAACGACTGAAATGGGGAGGGAGAACAATTTATGTAGTAGTTATTATCTACTTATCACATTGTCGTAAAGGTTTCCTGGGATAAAGGACTTAAAATGAGCACCAGTTTTCATTTTTAGTAGTTTAGGACTTACAGTTTTATGGCGTATTGTTTAACTTGCTTTATGGCTGCCTGTGTGGAGTTGACTATCATTCAGTAGGACTGAGTAGCATCTTAGAGAACTGGATGGTGGATATTTTTATTTGAAAATTCCCATAACCCAATATAGGGGATGTACTGAGCATGCATTTCTAGAACAGTTCAGAAGTTATAACTAAGGTGCCAGGATGTTGATTTTGATTGTAATTGTTTTACACTGACATTTTTTATGATCATAGATTTAGAGGTAGAGAAGGCATAAGAGATTAGTCTTAACATCTTCTCTTTGGCTCCCTCCCTTTTCTCTCCCCTAATCCTCCCTTATTTTTTAGATGAGGGAAGTAAATTAAAGCCCAGAGAGGTGAAATCACACAAGTAGTAATAAATAGCAGAGTCAGAATTTGAACCCATACCCCCTGACTTGCAATCCAGTGTTCTTACCACAGCCACATTGAATGGTTTTTCAGAAGGACATCTAGGCAACTCAGTGGATAGAGTGTTGGACTTGAAGGCCGGAAGACCTGAGTTCAAATACTATCTCATACACTTTTCAGCAGTGTGACCCTGGGCAAATCATTTAACCGCTCTCAGCCTCAAGTTTTCACCTATAAAGTGAGGATAATTATAATACTTAACTTACAAGGTTGTTGTGAAGATTAAGTGAGAAAATATATGTAAACTATTTTGAAAACCTTAAAGCACTATATAAATTCTAGTTCTAATTGTAGTTATTAAAGCTGAACTTTTGAATGGTACGCTAAGGAAAGTAGCCCGAGAGGAACAGCTTGATGTGGTGGAAAGAGTTATTAGACCAGGTATTATGAAGACCTGAGGTCAAATTATATCTCAGGCACTTACTGTTTGACCCTGGGTAAATCACTTAAATTCTCTTGTTTCTTTATCTGTAAAACAGGTATAATAACAGGACCTACATCACCGGTTTGTTGTGTGGATCAAATGATAGACTATATGTAAAGCACTTTGCAAACTTTAAAGCATTATAAAAACATAGCTGTTAAGTGAAGCTCTTTGCAAACCTTAAAGCACTAAATAAATCTATATAGTTATTATATCGTTCTAATATTTCTTGCCTGAGACCAAAGAGTTAAATTTTGATGCATGCTTTAGCAATTTCTGCACTGACCTTTTGAAACATTTTACATTTTTCTAATTAAAATAAAAATATAATGATAAGGGTAGGTATTTCTAAGGGCTTCTTTGGCATGATTATGTAGCACTATTTTCATTGTTACATAAACAGCTAAACTTCTACAATAATCAAACACAGCCAACAAGCATTTATTTTATTTTTAAAATTAATTACTTAAGTAATTTTTAGTTTCTAACATTCACTGCCATAAGCTTTTCAGTTTTAAATTTTCTCTCCTTGCCAAAACAGCATTTAGTCTGATACGGGCTCTACATATACATTCATATTAAACATGTTTTCACATTAGTCATGTTGTAAAGAAGAATTAGGACCAATGGAAGGAACCACAAGAAAGAAGAAACAAAACAAAACAATAACAACAAAAAAAAGAGAGCAAATAGTATGCTTCAATCTACATTCAGACTCCATAGTTCTTTCTCTGGATATAGGCAGCATTTTTCATCATGAGTGTTTTGGGGTTGTCTTAGATCCTTGCATTGCTGAGAAGAGCCAAGTCTATGAAAGTTAGTCATTGCACAATGTGGGTTACTGTGTACATTGTTCCCCTGGTTCTGCTCACTTCATTTAACCGCAGTTCATATAAGTCTTTCCAGGTTTTTCTGAAGTCCTCCTGCTCATCATTTCTTATAGCACAATAGTATTCCATGACATTTCTATACCATAACTTGTTCAGCCATTCTCCAGTTGATGGGTATCCCCTCAATTTCTAATTTTTGGCCACCACAAAAAGAGTTGCTATAAATATTTTTGTACATGTAGGTCCTTTTTTCATTTTTGTAATCTCTTTGGGACATAGACCTAGAAATGGTATTGCTGGGTCAAAAGGTATGCAAAGTTTTATAGTCCTTTGGGCATAATTCCGAATTGCTCTCCAGAATGGTTGGATCAGTTCACAACTCCACTAATAATGCATTTGGTGTTATATTTTTCCCACATCTCCAACATTTATCATTTTTCTGTTTTGTCATGTTAGCTAATCTGATAGGTATGATGTGGTACCTCAGAATTGTTTTGATTTAGTGTATTTTTTTATATGACTTTAATTTCTGCATCTGAAAATTGCCTTTTCATATCCTTTCCACGAGCATTTATTAAGCACCTGTTGTGTGCCACACACTGTGATAAGCACTAGAAATACAAAGACAGAATCGAAAGACTCCCTGCTATCAGGATCATACAATCTAGAGGGAAAGATTACATACTGGCATGTATAGCTTTAGACAAAACATAATATACAAATCAAATAAAAGAATAACAGAGGAGTGGGAGGCAGTAGCAGCTGAGGAGACTTGGAAAGACCTCATAAAGAAGGTGGTTGGTGCTTGAGCTGAGTCTAGAAGGAAGACAAAGATTCCAGAAGGTAGAACATTCTAGGAATAGGGGATAGCCATGGCAAAGGCATGGAGGCAGGAAATTAAGCGTCCCAGCCAGTGTGGCAGGACAGTAGAGATAGGGGAAAGGGGAATAATGTGCAAGTGGATTGGAAAGGTCGAAGGAGGCCACATTATGAAGAGCATGAATCTACTTCTTTCTTTGTGGTGTTTATAAACAAAAGATCATGAATTTGTGACCTGTCTAAAAGGACTGCTATAGAGTAGTTTGCAGAAGCATAGTATTTTGTACAGTTATCTTAGATCCTACTAGTTATCCTTATGAAGAAGTCATCTTAAAAAGAACTAACTTAAGAGATGGTTGAATCGCCTAGCTGCATTAGAACAAAACTAAAAAGGAAAACTCCAAATTCTTTTCAATGAATGAAGGGAATAACCTAGATCATTAAAAACATTTTTTTAAAAAAATCTTATTGGGGGCAGCTATATGGTGCAGTGGATAGAGCACCAGCCCTGGATTCAGGAGGACCTGAGTTCAAATCCGGCCTCAGACCAAACACTTGACACTCACTAGCTGTGTGACCCTGGGCAAATCACTTAACCCCAGTTGCCCCCCCCAAAAAAATCTTATTAATTTATTTTTTGAGGCACAGTACCAGGAATATAGAACAAACATTCAGGTATCCTCTTAATCTTGGAGAAATCTCATGTCACTCTGAAGCACACTAATAAGGAGAATGTGCATTTGAGATATACCTCTCTTCAACCCTCTTTTTATTACTGAGTTTTTATTGAAATTCTGTGTGCATGAAGACTGAGGTGGGAGGACAATTTTGACTTAGGTTGTAATTTGGAAGCAAAATAAAAGTTAGAACTGTGCTTGTTTTCAGAGGAAAGAAGGTCAAACATTTTGGGATTAAGGTTGACCTTTAATTTTTAGTTTTTATAACTTATAAAATTCCAGTCTTCAGGAATTAATATAGGGAAACATTAATATGAATGAATTATATTAAAACACTAAGCAAATGTAATTTGGGAGACCATTTTAAAAAGTGTACTTAGGTCTAGATTAACTTATTTTTTGTTGACAATTTATAAAGGCATTTTAATGCCCTGAGAATTGAAAACTGGATTAAAGTAGATGTAAATTTTAAACATGTTAAAACATTTCTGTTGCTGTAGAAATTAAGTTGTTTGTAATTTGTGGTGAAGGTTTCTGATATTTTGAGCCAAACTGATTGTTGATGTAGTGTGGATGACATTTGAGCAGTAGTGAAGCCGTTGTGTATAGGTGTGTGTCAGCATGACTTCAGTAAGCTTTTATTGTGACCCTTGAGGTCACTTCCAGCTCCAAGTTATGTGTTGAATTTTGCTAGAACTTTTAACACCTGTCCTGTATGTACAGAATACAAATTGTTCATGTTGTTTCCTTAATAACCGTTGTTAGGATAATCAAACTCCTCACTTAAGTTCGTAAAGTCTTCCACAGTTTGGCTCTTGCCTACTTTTCCAGATTTATGTCACCTCACTCTCTTTCACATAATCTATGCACTAGTCAAACTGGCTTATTCACTTTTCCCCAGTACTTGGGACTTCATTTCCTACCTTTATGCTTATAAATAGACTGCCTTCTTTCCCCCTCTTCTTAGAATACTCTCCTCATTTCTACCTCAGTCTCTTTCCTTTTTGTCTCCGCTTAGGTGAATGAATGAATGAATGAATGGATGAATGAATGGAAAAAGCATTCATTAAGTTGTGCTATGTATAAACACTGTGCTAAGCACTGTGGATACAATTAGAAAAGCTAGACAATCCCTGCCTTCAAGGGGCTCCCATTCTAATTGAGGAAGACAATGTAACTCAAAGTATCCCAGGCTAGTCAGATGGAAAGGCCTCAGGGTCTTTAGGGAGCTGTGGTAAAGCAAATAGCTATGCTTCTTCTTTAACATCATTTCCACTGACAAAGCCATACCCATTTCTTATGGACAATTTGACATTTTGGTAGCTAGAACTTTTCTGAGTTTTCAGTAGCTGTGGGATCTGGGAAGTGGTGTTGTTTCCAAGGCTCTTTAATTTACCTGCCACATCTATGGCAGATGGTATACCTTTGGTGCTGTGGGTAGTGGTGCTGCTAGACCTTTTTTCTACAATCGATACTCCCCTTGATGACTGCAAAGGCTGAACCGGAAGCAGGGCAGTGGTCTGGGGAATACTGCTATCCCCAGGACTCTTGGTTCTTGTTCTGTCTGGCTAAGGAATGTTAAGGGGTCCCCTGAACTTGTCTTTTTGAGATGTCATGTTTTCCAGAAACACTGGACCCAGGGTATGCAGGAAGCCCTGAATATGTAAAGTTTGAGCCCTGATCCCCCTGCCTCCCCAGCTGACATAATGTGTTGCCCAGCATCCCAAGCTGGACTCCCTCTGTGTTCTTGAGAGTCAAAAGAGACACGAGACAGTCTGCACTAGGCTTGTGCAGATGGGACCCTTGTAGATAAGCAGATCATATCTTCATGGTCTCTCTAGAAGTCCCCTAGGGAAAAGAATGTGGCTTTTGTGTTGCCTTGTTTAGTCCTTTAACTGCATCTTTCCCCTCCCATGCCACACCCCTTTAGGTGGCGATTTCTGCTCTCTTTTTGCCTTTGTTTATCTTGCTGTCGTAAATATGCAAACTGCTGTATGGGCTGTAAACTCTTTGGGTTCCACATGCATTTTCATTTCTCTTGTAATAAATCTAGTTTTCACGTAAGTTTTGTGAAGTTGTGATTGCCTGTTGACAATTTCTACTAGGATATGAGGGAGGTTGTGGTTATTGTAGTCTGAACCTCCTTGTACATGCCAAGTGAATCCTGTCATGATGCCACAAAGTCTTTCCTCATCCCCTTAGTTGTTAGTACTTTCCTTCATCAAATGACCTTGTTTTTATCTTTGTACATATTATTTCCCCCAGTAGAATTAATGTAAATTCCTTGAGGGCCTGAGCTCTCTTGTGCTCTCTCTGTCTCTCTCTCTTTTGAGAGAGCTGAGAGTGGGGGAAGTATTTGTGTCTTTTATACTCGGCTCAGTGTCTTAGAAGCACTTGGAAGACACTTATTAATTTTTTTCATTCATTCTTTGTATTCCTAGCAACTAGAATATTGCCTTACATGTTCAGTAGGTACTTAATAAGGGTTTTCTGAAATGAATTTGTAATACTTTTTGACGATTTGCTAATGCAACTATTGTTAACAGTTTTTTTCAGTTATTTTTGCATTTCATGATTGAACATTGACCTTTATCTTCAAAAAGTTTTCCCCCATTTGGAAGTTATCCATTTATGAAGTGAAACAACTCACATTTTATTTCAGTGCCTAGATATAAATGATATTATATTCAGAATACAAATTTGACTTTTTGTCTTCAATATTCAGAGATAATGAATTGGAAAATGTTTTGTTTTTAAAAGTGTTTCTGAAATGTAGGACTTCAAAGAACTAATTCTGTTGTAATGTTTCTCCTCTTAGGTCTTCAGTCTGTTGAGCCTTTATGAATAAAAAGTTCACAGCATAAAATTATTTCTAATTCTATATGTAATTCAAGTACAATGATGCTATAGACAGCAGCAAACTGGGAAAGAAAAAAGGATTTACTACTGAAGGATGAATAGTGAAGAAGAATTCTTTGATGCCGTTACAGGTGAGTAGGGTACTAAGTTAAAATAGACCAAACTTCTGGTAGCATTTATTTAAGTTCTGGAATTTTGATAAATTTTTATTTTTACATTTTATTCTGAACTTGACAAATATCAACAAATAGAAACATTTTTATATATAAAGAACAACAAAGAGCATTGTATGTGAAACCATGAATCTCATACATACAGCTTTAAAAATATATATATATATGTATATAATACATTCAACATGTTAGCTACCAAGCTGTAGAAATTGTCTTTTCCCCTCTAAACTTCCTTCTCTCTCTTTGCATTTTAAACTGTTTCATTCATGTTCTTTCCTTTCTTTTTCCTATTGTTATCAATAGCCCCTTTCTTTCTCTACAGCCCCCCCCCCAATTTTTTAAAAACTCTCCTTGTAATAAGAAAAGTCAAGGAAAACAAATGCATACATTGGACATGTTTGAAAAGTATGTCTAATTGTATACCTCTTGTCCATTACTAACTGGTCAGGAGATAGGAGGTAGGTTTTATTTCTGATAAATTTTAAAATATGAAATACATTATCTGGTATATTAGATACTATAGGTAATACATGTTCAGTGAACAAATTTTGCATGAGCACTTTCTGCCATTATCACAGTATTGTTTTGAAGATGGTACTTCATAAGGCTTAAAGCACTAGGCAAATGTCATTTCCTTTTTTTAAATGTATTTTTTCAATTGCATGTAAAAATGATTTTGAACATGTTTTTAAAAATTTTGAGTTCAAAATTCTCTCTTCCCTTTTTTCTCTCTTCCTTGAGAAGACAAGCAATTTGATTATACATGTGCAGTCATGAAAACACAGAGTTCCATATTAGTCATGTTGTGATAGAAAACAGACAAAAAAACCCAAGAAAAATTTAAAAAAAAAGTAGATTTCGATCTACATTCAGACTCCATTAGTTTTTTCTTTGGAGGTGAATAGCGTTTTTCATCATAAGTCCTTTGGAATTGTTTTGGATCATTGTATTGCTGAGAAAAATTAAGTCGTTCACAGTTGATCTTCACATAATGTTGCTATTGTGTACTCTGTTCTCCTGATTCTGCTCATTTCATTTTGCATCAGTTTATGTAAGTCTTTCCAGGGTTTTCTGAGACCATTTTGTTTGTCATTTCTTATAGCAGAATAATATTCCCTCACAATTGTATACCACAACTTATTTAGCTATTCTTTAATTGATGGGTGTCCCCTCAATTTCCAGTTCTTTGCTACCACAAAAAGAGTTGCTGTAATAATTTTATTGTACATATAGGTTCTTTTTCCCTTTTTTTTTTCCAGTCTCTTTGGGATACAGATCTAGTAGTGGTATTGCCGGGGTCAAAGGATATGCACAGTTTTATAGCCTTGGGGCATAGTTCCAAATTGCTCTACAGAATGGTTAGATGAGTTCACAACTCTACCAATGGTGCTTTAGTGTCCCAATTTTCTCACATCCCCTCCAACAGTTGTCACTTTTCTTTTCTGTCATATTAGCCAATTTGGTAGATGTTCTTTTAATTTGCATTTCTCTTAATAGTGATTTAGTTAATTTTTTTCATATGACTAAGAGAGCTTTGATTTCTTCATCATAAGACTGCCTCTTCATATTGGGGAATGATGTGTATTCTTATAAATTTGATCCTCCTACCATTTGTGGGCCAAGAGCTCCGGCATCAATTGTTGCCGCCACTGTCCTGGGACTGTGCCAGGGCTGGGGCTAGTCCATGCTTTTCTCTCACCTAGGTCTGACAGACCCTTCCCATTGACCTTCTAAGTTGTATTCGGTATTTGTAGGTTGAGAAGTCTGGAAACCACCACAGCTACCTGTGATTCAGTCCCCTGAGTCTTGCTCTGGGTTTGCTGGGGGCCCCCTTCTTTGCTAGTGTAGCCTATGCTGAACTGTGCTACTCTTCCAGCCCAGCACAACAGACCTTTCTCATCAACCATCTAGGTTGTCTTGGGCTGGAAAGTTGTTTCACTCTGTCTTTTTGTGGGTTCTGTTGCTCTAGAATTTGTTTAAAGTCATTTTTCATGGGTGTTTGGAGGGGTTTGGAGTTTGGAGCTCAAGCAGGTCACTGCTTTTACTCTGCCATCTTGGCTCCTCCCCCTCAGTGGATTTTTTTTTTGCTAGGCAGTGGGGTTAAGTGACTTGCCCAGGGTCACACAGTTTTATGTAGCCTTGTTATAGTCGCTGTATTAGGGTTGTATTATTCTTTCTTTTTAACTCATTAGACTTGTTATAGAAATTTATTGATTTGTGCTGTCAGAAACCCAAGTCAGAAAGTTCTGAGCTTTCTGTTTTGCTAGGTTTAATTTTTTTTAAGTGGATACTATTATATGGAGGCAGTATGGTGTAGCGGAAGGAGCACTGTATATGCAATCAGGAGGGACTTTGATCCCAGTCCCACCTCTAACACTTGACTAGTTGTGTGACTATGGCCATAAGCCACTTAACCTCACTGATCTTCAGTTTCCTTATCTGTAAAAAAGGGAATAATAATATCTGTAGCACCTACCTCATACAGTTGTTGTGAGGCTCTACTGAGAGGACGCATCTAAGGCATTTTACAAACTTTAAAAAGCTATTAAGGTTGCCTATTATGATTGTTATTCTACAGACTAAATTGTTGGGCATAATTTTGTGGTGAGAGGCAGCTTGGTGTGGTGGATAGAGATTTGGGTTCAAGTTCTGCCTCTGAGCCATACTGGCTGTGTGACTCTCAGTGCTCTAGGGCAGGAAATTCTGTAACTGTAAGTTGCAGAGAAGGTGGTTTATCTGCTGTGGTAGAGGGGATTTCCTCACTTGGGAGTTCTCTGTACTAATGAAATTACAGTTCCAGTCCCTAGCTCTATTTTTCATTGTTTCTTGACTAGATTTCTTCACTGGTTCTAGTCTTTAAAGTATGCTTCTAAGGGATCAGCTATTTCAGTTTCTTTAATTTCCTTACTCATGTCCAAGGTTGTTGTCCTCTTTTGAACTCCCATTGCATATAATTATCATTAGGTAGTTATACTCTTAGAATAAAGTACTATTAATATATGACCTTACCTTCACATCTAGTAGACCATTTTATTTTCTAAATAAAATTATATCATCTGAACTTTCCTTCCCTCCCAGTTATCTCCAAAAAGTAGTTGTTTCTTTCCTCAGTAAGTTTTCCTTTCAGCTCTGGATCTCTGTAATTACTCACTTTTATCAAGTTATTGTGATGCAATGGAAAGAACACTGGATTTGGTTTTAGAGAACCTGGGTCAAATTCAGACTCATCCATTTACTGCTTTTGTGATCAGGAACAAGTCACTTAGAATGGCGGGATCATAGTTCTAGAGTTGAAAAGAACTTTAGAGACCATGTAGAACAACTCCGTCATCTCACAAAAATGATTAAACTGAGGTCATGTTGTTCAAATGTCAAATGTGTGCTTGCCTAAGACTATTTTATGGAGAACTCACACAGGCCAAGTGCTCACATGGTGGTCAGAAGAAGCAATACAAGGACACTCTCAACTCTCTTAAGAACTTTGGAATTGGTTATGTGACATGGGAGACACTGACACAGGACTGCCCAGCATGGTGTACCCTCATCAGAGAAGGGGCTGTGCTCTATGTGCAAAGCGGAATTGAAATAGCTCAAAAGAAATTTGAGATGCACAAATTTAGAGAACCCATTCCAAAAGTTCACATGGACTGTTTGTGCCCGACTTGTGGTAGAGCATTCCAAACTTGTATGGATCTGATCAGCCTCAGTTGGACACATTGTAACTTGACTCTAACATAATGGTGTCATTTTGGCCCTCTTTGAGAATGAAGGACACCAACCAACCAAACTGAGGGCAATGGAATTACTTGTTCAGGGTCACACAGATAGTGGCATAGATAGAATTTGAACTGGACTTTAGTTTCCTCATCTGTAAAATGAAAGGTTTGGACTAGTTAACCCAAGGGCCCTTCCAGCTGGAGGTTTATGATCCTATAGTGTTTAGAGTTTATAAAACCCACAATATGCTTTTTCTCATTTAATCTTCACTTATTTTTATTTATTTTGTTAAATATTTCCCAGGTACACATAAAAACATTTTAAATACTCATTTTTAAAATTTTTGAATTCCAACTCTCTGTCCTACTCTTCCCCCCTTTTTGATAAGGCAAACAGTTTGATAATTGATTATACATGTGAAGTCATACAAAACATTTCCATATTAGCTATCTTGTGAAAGAAAACATAAGCAAAATAAAACAACAAAAATAAAGAAAGTAGAAAAAAGTATGCTTCACTCTGCATTCAGAGTTCATCAGTTCTCTCTCTGGAGGTGGATAGCATGTTTCATCATAGGTCCTTTGGAATTGGCTTGGATCATTGTCTTTATCAGAGAAGCTAAGTCTTTCACAGTTGATATCCTTACAGTATTATTTAATCCTTACAACGATGCTATTATTCCATTTTGTGTATGAGAAAACTGAGGATCAAAAGCTAGAAAAAATATATTTTTTTTGTTTTTTAAAGAGCCCAAGGTTCAAGAAACCATATGTAGACTTTAATACTCCTGAAACAAGATAGTGAAAAGGTCTCATCAATTTAATAGTGCAGAATATTAAAAATTGATTTTTTTAAATAGAAGACTTGTTTGATGTGATTAGTTAAAACAATAAGGAGATGCAGCTTCTGGTATAGACTTGAGAAAACAAATTGTCATCACCACCCCAAAGCAATTATAGTTCATATCCAGTCATCTGATAATTTTTTAAATAATTGATTATTTAAAGGAACATTTATTTACTAATGCTTCCTTTGAATATTGGCTTGCTTTGGTACTTTGAACCCCTGATTTAATTGGTATAAGTACTCCCTTCATGGTATGTATCATCAACCCATCTATTCCTTTTCATCCTCTTCAGTTCTTGTCCATGTCCCTTTTTTCTAAATAGATGTTGAAAATTGGTACATAATTTAAAGAAAATCCAGGTAGTGATACATTTTTAAAAATTCTGCTGATGTTCAATTTTATTTACTTAACCTCATCATTAGGAAACCTTTTCAGGGAACCTATCTACTGATCTTTAAAGGATGATAGGTCTAGAAACATTAGAAGCTGTCTTGTCTAACCTCCAATTTTACAGATAAGGAAACTGAGCTCCATGGCTCTAACACTTAACTAGCTGTGTAACCTTGGGCCAGTAACTCCATCTGTCTGAGCTTCAGTTTTCTCATATCTAAAAAGCGTTAAACTATGAGATTTCTAAGGCCCTTTCCAGTTTAAAAAATTTTTTATTCTAGTTAAGTCCTTACCTTTTATCTCCTTTTTATTTTTTTCCCTGGGCAATGGGGTTAAGTGACTGGCCCAGGGTCACACAGCTAGTAAGTGTCAGGTGTTTGGTCTGAGGTCAGATTTGAACTCAGGTCCTCCTGACTCCAAGACCAGTGCTCTATCCACTGTGCCACCTAGCTGCCCCCTCCTATTTTTTTTTTTGAAGGCAATTGGGGTTGAGTGACTTGCCCAGGGTCACACAGCTAATAAGTGGCAAGTGTTTGGTCTGAGGCTGGATTTAAACTCCTGTCCTCCTGACTCCAAGGCTCCATCTACTGTGCCACCTTCGCTGCCCCTTAAGTCCTTACCTTTTAACAGAAGATATACAGATATATTTTCTTTGCTTGGATTATGTGAAAAATGGTAGTACTTCCCTTCATTTCATTTGATTTTCAGGTGTATCACTAGTATTTTATAGAAACTGCTATATAGATTTTTTTGAAAAAGAAAACAAATATTTTCATTTTTTTCTTTAACTTCCAGTTTCTTCATGGAGAAATCACTTATGATGGAGAATGGTTGCAGAGCAATGCCTGAATGTAATGGTAGTTCTCATTTGGATGAGTAGATAGTTAAATATAAAGCATATGGTCTTCTAAATAAATAATCTTTGAGAATTTGTTTACAAATTACTCTTTAAGTCTAAATCATTAATTTAATTCTAAATCACAAATTACAATTTTTAGTTTCTCTTTTATTCTTTTGATAGTGTAATATTCTTATTTCTTAGAAATGGCTATAATTTGTTAATATCTTCAATGGAAATAGATAACAAGATATGCAACTGTTAGATCCTGTTGCATTTTAATGATATTTCTGCCTACCATAGAGCTGTTTCCCACTCCTCTTAGTTGGCCCAATGGAATAAAAGCACTTGTTTCAATGGCTCTTTGATGTTGTCAGTGCAGATATTCTATTCACTGGTTAAAAATCATCCATTGCCTTCTCATCTTATATGACTCTAATCCATGTCTTTTTATTAAATTTTCTATGGAAGATCCATCTAATTTTGGGGAGGCTTTCCTCTGGACCATTAACATAGTGCTTGGGCTATAATGCCAATATGTATGTTATTTAGGCCCTCCAGTGGTGTCAACTTGTTGGTCACTAGATAAAGAAGGTATGTTAAAACAATTAAATCTTTTTAGATGGCTCCCAAACTCTGTAACTCTTGGCACTCTCCTTCCCCTTCTCTGCTACTTTTGATGTCACAGCAGAAGGGAACCATTATGTTTTACATTTTTATCAATTGCATGGGTCATCAAAGCCAAAATATTAATTCATATACTTTAAAATTACAAAACCGGGTAATTGTGGTTCTGGTGATGAGACTCTCAGAACTTAGTTAGGCTTATCCTTAGCAGACACAATCCATTGCTGGGACTGTACTCAAACCTTTTCCTATTTGGTGTAGAGCCTACTGGAGCTTGTATTCTGCTGACAGTACCTCCATATCACAAAGGAGTATTAGAATTGGTTTTTCAATCTTAAAGATTCCTACCAGAAATATATAACTGATGAGTTGATGACAGTTACAGTTTTAACCTCCGAATCTGGGAAAAATAAACTATCATGTAACCTAAAAATCATGAGAGCACCTGGGTTCAAAAACCACTTTGTTGTCTACTACCTTTGTGACCTTAAGCAAGTTATTTCATCTCCCTGGGCTTCAGTTTCCTCAACTGTAAAAATGAGGAAATTGGACTAGATGGTCTTTAAAGTCCCTTCCAGCTCTACGTCTATGATTTTATGAGGATGATCTGATTGTTGGGTGTTCTCTACTATGACTCATATTCATGGAAAATGATTTTAATCTCACTGGTATTTGTCAATTAAATATTTTTCCTTAAAGTGATATCAAAAACTTTGTTGTTCTTATCAAAAGATAAGTAGATTTACTCCATAGTGACCAGAATCCTGAAAGAGTTATTATTGTCTTCTGTTTGTTTTGTGTAGGCTTTGATTCTGACAATTCATCTGGGGAGTTTTCAGAGGCAAATCAGAAAGTCACAGGAATGATTGACTTGGACACGAGCAAAAGTAATAGGACTGAAAAAAATGGAGAGAGGCCTCCACAAGAGAATGGAATCAAGAAACACAGGTAATAGCATACTTTTTGCCATTTTTTTTGGCCATATTTTAGAAGTGGTGTCAAACTCAAATAGAAATGGATCCTTGCAATCTTCATATTGACTTGTCTATATTGCCATGTTTGTTTATATTAACACCCCCACCCCCATCATTGCCTTGTCCTAGTGGAGAGACTTGCACAGCTCAGTGAAACTATGAGCTATGCTGTTCTGTGGGGTTACCCAAGATGGATAAAATGTGGCAAGTCCTTAAAGAAATGGGAGTACTAGATCATCTCACCTGTTTCCTGAAGAACCTGTATAGAGACTAAGAAGCAACAGAATCGAACATGGAACAACTGATTGGTTTAAGATTGGGAAAGGAATACAACAAGAATGTGTTTTGTCACCTTATTTTTTTAACTTACATGCAGAATACATCATGTGAAGTGACAGGCTGGATGAATTAAGGTTGCTGGGAGAAATATCAACAGTCTCAGATATGCAGACAGTACCATTCTGATGGCAGAAAGTGAAGAGGAATTAAGAAGCCTCTTGATGAGGATGAAAGAGGAGAGTGTCAAAGCTGGCTTGAAGCTTAACATCAAAAAAATTAAGATCTTGGCAACTGGTCTCATCACTTCCTGGCAAATAGAGGGAGAAGAAATGGAAGTTTTTATATTCTTGGGCTCAGTGATCACTGCAGATAGCAACTGCAGCCATGGAATTAAAAGATACTTCCTCCTTGGAAGGAAAGTTGTGGTAAATCTTGACTACTCCCTAAAAAGCAGAGATATCACTTTGCTGACAAACGTCCATATAGTCAAAACTATGGTTTTTCCAGCAGCAGTGTTTGTGTGACTGTTAAGATTTGGAGTATAAGGAAAGCTGAGCGCTGCAGAATCTCCATGCTTTCAAATTGTGGTGCTGAAGAAGACTTTTGAGAATCCCTTACACAGCAAGGAGATCAAATCAGTCAATGTTTAAAGAAATTAATTCAGGCTATTCACTGGAAGGTTAAATAATAGAGTTAGAGCTTAAATACTATGGCCACATAATGAAAAGACAGGACTCATTAGAAAAGATCCTGATGCTGGGAAAGATTGAAGGCAAAAGGAAAAGCAGACAGTAGAGGATGAAAGGGATAATAGATAGTCATGGAAATGATGAACATGGACTCAGAAAGACGTTGAGAGGTAGTAGAGAATAGAAGGGTCTGGCATGAAGAATCACATGTGACTGAACAACTGAATAACAGCAACAATTCTATTGTTAAACATTTCTCAATGACATTTTTTTTAAAATTTGGTTAGGCAATGGGGTTAAGTGACTTGCCCAGGGTCACACAGCTAGTAAGTGTTATGTGTCTGAGCCTGGATTTGAACTCAGGTCCTCCTGAATCCAGGGCCAGTGCTCTATCCACTGCACCACCTAGCTGCCCCTCAATTACATTTTAATATGGTTCCAGTGTACTCAAGAGTTCTGTGGGTTACAAGTTTGACACCTCCTTTTTGAGACATTGCTAAAACACTAAATAGTGTACATTCAAACCTCATAAAACTTTTTTCTCTCTTTACATTGCCATCCAACTAGTCCAGCTAGAAATTTGAAATCAGATCTGCTTTGACCTAATTCCAATGGGTCACAGAATCATAAGATTAATAATAATAATAATAATAATAATAATAATAATGACATCTAACATGCATATGTAGTACTTTAAGGTTTGCAAAGCACTTTACAAATGTTGTTTAATTTGATCATTACAACAACCTTTGGGAGGTAGGAGATATTATTATCCCTATTCTACAGATGAAGAAACTGAGACAGAGATTATATTACTTGCTCAGGATCAAAGATAAAATAAAAAACTAGTCCCTCGAAATCAGCTTCTGATTTTACCACTCTGTTGCCTCTGTTACTTCAAAGGAAATTATCACTACTTTTTGTGGACTGTCTTTCTTCCCTTAACTTCCATGATACTCTATCTACTTAGTTTTTTCTGTTGTTCTGACAGCTTCTTCTTAGTCTCTTTCTGGTTTATCTTCTTCGTCTTCTTTTAATCTTTTGATCATTTATCAATTGGGGAATGACTTGTTTTTATAAATTTGATTCATTTCTCTATGTTTGAGAAATGAAGCCTTTATCAGAGAAACTTGCTTCAAAATTTGTTTTACAGTTATTATTGCTAACTGTATTTCCCTCCATCCTATTACCACCCCCCACCCCGTTTATTCTATTCTCTCTCTCTCTCTCCTTTCAACCGTGTCCTCAAGTGTTTTGCTTTTGACTAATCCCTCCTCGAATCTACCTCCCTTCTATGACTCCCCCCGCCCTTTTCTTATCCCTTTTTCCTCCTACTTTCCTGTAGGGTAAGTAAGATAAATTTCTTTACCTAATTGAGTTTATGTTATTCCCTCTTTGAGCCAATTTTGATGAGAGTATTCCCTCTTACCTCCCCCCCTTCAGCTCCACTGTAAAAGCTTTTTCTTGCCTCTTTTATGTGAGACAATTTACTGCATTCTATCCCTCCCTTTCTCTTTCTCCCAGTACATTACTTTCTTATCTCTTAATTTTATTTTTTAGATATTATCCCTTCTTATTCAGCTCACGCCTGTGCCCTTTGTCTATATATACTTATAACTACCCTAATAATGAGAAAGACCTTATGAGTTACAAATATAATCTTCCCCTGTAGGAATGTAAACAATTTAAATTTATTAAGTCCCTTATGCAGGCCTGCACAACATATGGCCTGTGGGTTGCTTGCAGCCTGCCAAAGTGGCCCATGGGCAGTATGTTCTGCAGGCCTGCCCAAGAGTATTAAGCCTCTGAATCACTTCTTCATAAAGGGCCAGTGCTATTAGCTCTGTCTGAAGAACAGCTTTGGGGCCTGAGGATGACCTGAGACGTAGTTACATTCTCTACATTTTTTGTGGGCCATCTGAAATCCTCATGCAATATTCATATTGTGCAGGCCTGCTCTTATGATTTCCCTTTCCTGTATACCTTTTTTATGCTTCTCTTGAATCTTTCATTTGAAAGTTAAATTCTCTATTCAGCTCTGGTCTTTTCATCAAGAATGCTTGAAAGTCTTCTTTCTTATTGAATAGCCATTTTTTTTCCTGAAGGATTATACTTGGTTTTGCTGGGTAAGTGATCCTAGCTCCTTTGCCCTCTGGAATATCATATTCCAAGCCCATTGATCATTTATTGTAGAAGCTGCTAAATGTTGTGTTATCCTGACTGTGGCTCCATGATGCTTGATTTGTTTATTTCTGCTTGCAATATTTTTTCTTTGACTCAGGAGTTCTGGAATTTGGCTATAATATTCCTGGCAGTTTTCATTTTGAGATTTCTTTCAGGAGGAGATCAGTGGATTCTTTCAATTTCTCTTTTACTCTCTAGAATATCAGGCCTGTTTTACATGATAATTTCCTGAAAGATCATATCTAGACTCTTTTTTTGATCATAGTTTTCAGGTAGTCCAATAATTTGTAAATTATCTCTCCTGGATCCATTTTCCAGGTCAGTTATTTTTCCAATGAGATATTTCACATTGTCTTCTATTTTTTCATTTTTTTGATTTTGTTTTATAATTTCTTGATGTCTCATAAAGTCATTAGTTTCCATTTACTCAATTCTTATTTTTAAGGAATTATTTTCTTCAGTGAGCTTTTGTACCCCCTTTTCCATTTAGCCAGTTCTACTTTTTAAGGAGTTTTTTCTTCAGTGAATTTTTTTGCCTCTTTTTCCATTTGGCCAATTCTGATTTTCAAGACATTTTTCTCGGGGTTTTTTTTGTACCTTTTTTACTGTTTGGCCTAGTCAGTTTTTTAAGGTGTTACTGTCTTCAGTATTTTTTGTGACTCCTTTACCAAGCTGTTAACTCTTTTTTTTCCATGATTTTCTTGCATCACTCTCATTTCTTTTCACAGTTTTTCCTCTACCTCTCTTACTTGATTTTCAAAATCACTTTTGAACTCTTCCATGTCTTGGGACCAGTTCGTATTTTTTGTAGGCTTTGGATGTATGAACTTTGACTTTGACTTTATCTTCTTCCGAGTATGTGTTTTGATCTTCCTTGTCACCATAGTAACCTGTTATGGTCAGTGTATTTCTTAACTTTTTTACTCTTTGTTAAAGCGGAGCTCTGCTTTTATGATAGAGGGTGCAGTATCACACGTTTCAGGATTTTTGTGCAACTATTTTCAGAGATATTTCTAGAGATCTGTGAGTTTTCAGTTCTTCCAAGGCGGTATGATCTAAGGAGAGATGTTTACTCTACTCCTGGCCTGTGGTCCAATCTGTTAGCAGCCACAAGCACTCTTTTCTGCCCTGGAACTGTGACAAAGGTCCCCACAGCATTGTGGCCTGCAAGCTCTGATGTGTTACTGCTCTTCTTTGCCCTGAGACTGCCCCCCACCACTGTGACCTAGATCTGAGTATAGGCAAAGCAACAGAGTCCTTCCTCCGGTGCCAGCAAAGAGACTCCTGTAATCTCCTTTTGTGGAGTTGTTTGACCCTATTACCATCTGTGTTGTGGGCTGAGAATTCTGGAAGCAGCTGTTGTCTCTGTAGATTCAGTAGCTCACAAGGCCTGCTCCTGGTTTGCTGGGGCTAAGTCTATGCTGGTGCAACCTGCGTTATACTGTGCATCACTCTCACAATGGTACAACAGACCTTTCCTCCTGACCTTCTAAGTTGTCTTTGGTTGGAAAATTATTTCACCCTGTCCTTTTTTTTTTTCTTTTTGGTGAGGCGATTGAGGTTAAGTGACTTGCCCAGGGTCACACAGCTAGTAAGTACAGTCTGTCCTTTTGTGGGTTCTGCTGCTCTAGGAATTATTTTATGGCATTATTTAAAGGTGTTCAGAAGGGTTTTAGGGGGAGCTCAGGCAAATCACTGTTTTTTCTTCACCATCTTGGCTCTACCTCTTTATGAAGGTCTTTGAATGCTGAACAGAACATTTTGTACTTGATCCTGAACATAAGGAGCCACTGGAGTTTATTTAATAGGGGTGGGGTGGAATGACATGATTGGACCTACACTTTAAGAAAATCACTATCGTGGTTGCATGTGGGATAGATTGAAGTGGGGAGAGACTTGAAATATGCAGATCCACCAGCAGGCTATTGCAGTAGTTCAAGTGTGAGGTGATAACCGTTTGCACTAGAGTGGTGGCAGTGTCAGAGGAGAAAATGGAGCCTATTTGAGAGATGTTGCAAAGCTGAAATCGACATGCCTTGGCAACAGCTTTGGATATAGGAAGTGAGAGTGAGGAATCCAGGATGACTCTTAGGTTGTGAGCCTGAGGGATTGGGAGGATGGTGGCACCCTCTACAGTGTTAGGGAAGGTAGGGGTTGGAGAGGCCCAGTTCAGAAACCTGTAGGTTACCTATTTATGTGATTTGGAGGAACACCCAGCTTGAAATACTCTACCTACTTCCACCTGTTAAAATCCTAGGTTTCCCCCTTGCTACTGGCATGACCTTAGGCAAGTTACTTAACCTCTCTGGCCCTCAGTTTCCTCATTTGTAAAATGAGGAAAAAAATTTTTTCTCTTTAAAACTTGGTGCAAGTGCTACCTCCTTGAAGCCTTCCTTGACGGCCTTTACTAAACTGACAGTTTTACTCCCAAATTTTTTCTGGAATGCTTTGTCTAGATCTCTCCTTTATCCCTCTTCTATTCTACCTTGGATTATACTTATTTGTGTATGTGTCATATTTTCCTTAGTAGTTACCAACCCCTTGATGTCAGGGACTAGGTCCCTTTTTATCTTTTTGGCTTTAATACCACTTTTAGTACAGTGCCCTTCAACATGGTAGGTACTTAATTACTGTTTTTGAATTAATTTCAAGCACAGTTTTTGTACTATGTTGTGTACTGCCAAGTCATAAGTTGTTTCTCAGAGTAGATTCTTTAGGTTCATTTTAAATACAGAATTTAAATTAATTGAATGCCAAAACTGCTTTTAGCCTAAAGATATCTGAGAAGGACAAGTCCAACAGTGTGGGTTAGAGGTGATTCCAAAAACCTGATCACATCAACAAGTGCTTCTTTGTTTCCCTGTTTAGTGTGTGTGTTTGTTGTCTTCCTTTGTTCCACTAATAATCTCATTCCTGGATAATTCAAATTGTTGCATTACTCTGTCGTAATAATAAATATTTTATAATATAAAATTAATATAATAACATAGAAATCTTTGAGCAGTTAATTAGAAACTGAACCTCTCAAAATTGAATGAATAGAGAATTACAGAAATTAGATATGAAAATCTAAAGAAAAATTATCATGTCATAGAAAATAGCCATCAGTAAATCTATTTTATTAGTAAATGCTTATTATTAATATTGCTGCAATCTTGTTTTCTTTGAAGGACATCTTTGCCTGCCCCAATGTTTACTAGAAATGATTTCAGTGTGTGGAGTATATTAAAAAAATGCATTGGCTTGGTAAGTTTGAATTGCCTTATTTTGAAACATGAAGGTTAAAAACCTTTTAATTTTGAACTCATATGAATTTAACACTTATACTAACTTGAAAGGAAAAAAGTATATATATACACATATACATCCATCTGTCTCGTCTGTCTGTCTATCTATCTATTTAGTGTCCCAAAAGCCCTAGTGCAGTTTTTAAGCTTTAAAACTTAAAACTGTAGTAAGATTTCTGGGACAGCCTATGTGTTCATAACACATATTTGTATATATGCAGACATATAATACACATATACTTACACATGTACATACATACTATAAAGTATGTTACATGTATGTATATATAATACAAATGTGCATATATGTATGCAAATGAGGTCAAGAAGAGATTATAAAAAGGCAAAAGTTAGTTCTGAATGGAGTGGGGATGGGGGAACAGATGGCAAGAGGAACAGTAATAACTGATAATGAGCAGTAAAAACTTTTAGAAAGTAGTAGTTACGCTGAGTCTTGAAGGGAGCTTGAGATTCCAAGAGGGAGAGCATCCTAGCTATAGGCAACAGTCGCCTAGATGGCTAGTTATATGAAATCAGTCTGGAAAGACAGGTTGGAAACATGCTATGAAAGGGTTTACATGCCTATGTATCTAGCCAGCCTTATTTCTACCTTCACAACATCTTTCCACTCAACAAAATTGACTCTTATCACCTTTCTCATGGACTATTGCTTTACGCTTCTACTTGGTCTTCTGCCTTAAGGCTTTCCGAATTCCAATCCAGCCTCTATTTAGCTGCCGAAGTGATTTTCCTAAATTTAGCATAGATTTTCCCATGTCACTCCCCTATTCAGTAAATTCCAATAAATTCATTATTTTGTTAATCTAGGAATTGTCAAAAATCACAATGCCTATTGCCTTCAATGAGCCATTGAGTTTCCTCCAGCGAATTACTGAATACATGGAACATATATACCTCATTCATAAAGCTTCTTCTCAAACAGATCCCTTGGAAAGAATGAAGGTAGGCAACCTCAATCTGTTTCCGCTATTAACCCTTTTAATTGTTAAAATACTGGGCTTTGTTATATGTAGAAATTTTAATTTTTAAAGAAGCCAATGTAGTTATTACAATTCTTAGGTCAGGGCAAGAATCCAAGAATTTCCTTGTTGGGATATTATAAATAAAGGAAAGAGTAGCTTACTAACTCTTGGGATTTAGATGCAGTCCTATCAAGAGTCAGGAGAATGGGAATTAGATCAAATAATGTAATGTATTTGAAAGCGCTGTGTAAATTGTAGAGTATTATACAAATGTAAAGCATTTATTTTTATTATTTTAGTATTTTGAAATCTGTGATTTCATGTGGGTACTCTATAGAGACATACTGCATTCTTTCTCTGTTTTATCATTTGACTATGTCTATTCCTAAATTTCCCTCAGGACCATGACATGTATTGTAGTGCATTTCTTTCCTCTTTTTTTTTCTTTTTGGTGAGGCAATTGGGGTTAAGTGGCTTGCCTAGGGTCACATAGCTAGTAAGTGTCAAGTGTCTGAGGCCAGATTTGAACTCAGGCCCTCCTGACTCCAAGGCCAGAGCTCTATCCACTGCACCAGCTAGCTGCCCCAAAAGGTATTTCTGTTAATAATGATATTTCTCAGGAGCATAGTCTCCTTTATGAAGAGATATGAAATAATAGCTCTTAACTTGATAATTTTTTGGAGGAAGAAGTAATTGCATGATGAGGTGGAATTTCTCTTGGAAGTTTTGTAAATTTTAAAAATTTTATTTTTTTTTCAATCAGCAAAAATCCACCTTTACTTCCCCACCCTGCCTTCCCTTCTCCAATTTGAGAACAAAAGAAAAACAAAACCAATGTTATAAACATGAATAATCAGGCAAAACAAATTTCCACACTAGCCATGTCTAAAAAAAATCTCATTATGTGTTCTTAATCCTTCACTTCTCTCAGAAGGTGAGTAGTATGTTTCATCTTTAGTCCTTTAGAATATGCTGATCAAAGATCTTAATTCTTTCAGAGTTGTTTATTTTTGCCAAATTATTGTCAGTGTATTAATTATTCTCCTTATTCTGTTCACTTCATTCTGCATTAGTTCATATAAGTCCTCCCAGGTTTCTCTGAAACCACTGCTTTCTCATTTACTGCACAATAGTATCCTATCACATTTACATACTGTGATTTGTTCATCCATTCCCCAGTTTATGAGCATTCTCTCAGATTTCCATTCTTTGTCACCTCACAAAGGGCTGTAAATTTTTTTGCATATCCTCAGTTTGTTTTGCTTAGGACTAATCTCTCCCTTAATCTACCCTCCTTTAATTTTCCCTTCCCCCACCTCTTTCCCTCCTTTTAACCTGTTGAGTAAAATATATATTTCTCTACCAGCTGTGTGTGTATATATCCTTCCCTCCTTTGACAGATGGTAGTAAGGTTCAAGTGTCAGGTGCTCCCCCATCCCCTCTTCCTTGTTTATATAGCTGTTTATTTATATACCTTGATTATGCATGATAATTTCCCCTAACATTCCTGGGGATATCCCTAGTGTATTCTGCTTCTTCTTTCTTTTCATTCTCTAAAGATCATCAAAACATAACAAAATCACTCCAAAATCTTATCTAATTAGACTGCCTCTGTGACCCTTGATGATTATAGGGTTCAGAGGGGATGCCTGTATCAGCTCCCAAATTTGAATGAAAGCAATTTATCCTTGTTTAGGCTCTATTCATCCATTGTTCATTTATTTTTACTTTTTTATGTTTCTGTTAACTCCTGTGTTTGTACTTCAAAGTTTCTTTGCCGTTCTGGTCTTTCATCAGGAATGCTTGGAAGTCTTCCATTTCATTTGTGATCCATTTTTCTCTTCTGTAGCATTATACTCAGTTTTCTGGGTAAGTTATTCTTGGCTGTAAATTTGTATCCTTTAATTTCTGGAATACTGTATTTCAAGTTCTCCTTGTATATAGTTGTTGTTGTTGTTCGGTCATTCAGTCATGTCCAACTCTTCATGACCCTGTGTGCCATAGTACACCAATACTGTCCATGGGGTTTTCTTGGCAAAGGCACTGAAGTGGTTTGCCATTTCCTTTTTTATAGTGGTGGCTTGTAAAGCATATGTGATCCTGACTGTGATTTCTTGGTACTTGAATTCTTTCTTTCTTGCTTCTTGTAGTTTTCTTTGACCAGGAAACTTCTGGATTCTGGTCATGATGTTCCTGGGAGTTTTTATTTGGAGGTTTCTTTGAGGAGATGACTGATGGATTCTTTCTTTTTCTGCTTTGCCTTTAGGTTGGTTCTAAGAGATCTGGACAGTTTTCTTTTACAATTTCTGGAAATATTATATCTAGGATCTTTTTTTTTTGATCATTCAGATGGTCAAATGATTGTTATTTTTTTTTCTCCTTAATCTGTTGTGCCAGTTATTTGTCTTTACTATGAAATACCTCACATTTTCTTCTATGGTATTTTTTAGTCTTTGGAATTCATTGTAATATTTCTTGTTGTCTCATGACGACAGTGGCTTCAATTTGGTCCATCCTAATTTTCAGGGAATTTGTTTCTTGTGCAAGGTTTTATAACTGTTTCTCCAAGCTGTTGATTCCCTTTCTAATTCCTTCTTCCATAGTTCTAATTTCTTTTACGATTTTTTCCCCTCAAGCACTCTAATTTATAAAAACATTTTTAAGTCTTTAAAAAAAAACACTGTTGGGAGTAAGTCAGGAACTCACCAGAGCTTTCCCAAATTCACCTCTACACAACTATAAGATAATGTCTCAAAACAAATTCTGGAGTGGCAGAATCAACAAAAGGATGGGGTGAAATAGTTTTCCAACCCAAAACAACTTAGAAGTTAGTGTAAAAGGAGAGCATTTGGGCAAGCCAGCAGCAGGCTATGCCCTAGCAAGTAAGCAGAGAGTCTTCATGCCCCCAGTACAGCAAGCAAGTAGAGGCCCAAGCCCCAGTGCATTAGGCCAGTGGCAAGTCCCCCTTGATCCTGACACAAGAAGCCTGGGACAGTGCCCCCTCTACTCCAGGAATAGAGTCCAACTTTAATATAAAATTAAAGGTCACAAAATAGGCTGGAAAAATGAGCCAAAAAAAAAATAAGAACTTGAACATAGAAACATACTGTAATGACAGGAAAGAGCAAAACACAAACTCAGGAGAGGGCAGCAGTGTCAAAATGCATACTTGCAAAGCCTCAAAGAAAAATGTGACTTGGTCTCAGGCCCCAAAAGAACTCCCTGAGGAGCTCAAAAAGGACTTTAGAAATTAAATAAGAGAGGTAGAGGAAAAATTGGGAAAAGAAATGAGAGTGATGTAAGAGAATCATGAAAGAAGAGTCAACAATTAGTAAAGGAAGTACAAAAAAGTGGAAAAAGATATACAAATATTAATTGATGAAAACAATTCCTTCAAAAGTACAAGAAACACATGAAGCAGAGAGACACACACACAGAATGAAATTAAGGGGCTAGAGCAGAATTTGTTATGCTTCAGCTGAAGTAAAAAAAGCAGGGGTAGCAATCATGGTCTCAGAAAAAGCAAAAGCAAAAATAGATCCAATTAAAAGAGATACGGAAGGAAACCACATCTTGCTAAAAGGTACCATAGACAATGAAGTAGTGTCAACACTAAACATATGCACCGAATGGCATAGCATCCAAATTTTTAAAGAAGTTAAATGAGCTACAAGAGGAAATAGACAGTAAAATTATACTAGTGGGGGACCTCAACTTTCCCCTCAGAACTAGATAAATCTAACCAAAAAATAAACAAGAAAGAAATTAAAGAAGTGAATAGAATTTTAGATAAGTTAGATATAATATGCCTTTGGAGAAAATTGAAAGGAATATACCTTTTTCTCAGCAGTACATATCACTTACACAAAAACTGACCATGTATTAAGTCATGAAAATATTAAATGAATCCTTTTCAGATCATAATACAATAAAAATTACATTTAGTAAAGGGCTATAGAAAGATACATTAAAAATTAATTGGAAACTAAATAATCTAATCCTAAAGAATGAGTGAATCAAAGAACAAATCATAGAAACAATTTTATTAAAGAGAATGATAACAGTGAGACAAATATAGCAAAATTTATGGAATGCAACCAAAGCAGTACTTAGGGAAAAATTTACATCTCTAAATGCTTTACATCAATAAAATAGAGAAAGAACAGGTGAATGAATTGGGCATACAACTAAAAAAAAACTAGAAAAAGAACAAATGAAAAAGCCCTAATTAAACACCAAACTCTGGAGATCCTGAAAACTAAAGGAGAGATTAACAAAGTTGTTTAATTTTATTTTAAAGAAAGAAAACCAAATTACCAGTATCAAAAATGGAAAGGTGCATTCACCACCAATGAAGAGGAAATTAAAGTAAAAAGGAGCTATTTTGTCCAATTATATGCCAGTAGATCTGATCATTTAATTGAAATAGATGAATATTTACAAAAATATAAATTGCCTAGGTTAACAAAAATGGAAATAAATAACCCCATCTCGGAAAAAGAAATTGAACAAACCATCAATGAACTCCCTAAGAAAAAAATCCTCTAGGATCAGATTGATTCACAAATGAACTCCACAAAACATTTCAAGAACAATTAATTCCAATACTATGTAAACTACTTAGAAAAATAGGCAAAGAATTCTTTTTATGACCTAAATATAGTGCTGATACCTAAAACAGAAAGAGCAAAAACAGAAGGAAAATTATAGACTGATTTCCCTAATGAATATTGATGCAAAATTTTTAAATAAAATGCTATCATAGCAATATATCACAAGGATCATCCATAATGCCTAGGTGAAATTTATACCAGGAATGCAGGACTGGTTCAATATTAGGAAAAGTATCAGCATAATTGACCATATTAATAACAAAACCAGCAGAAATCATATCTCAATAGATGCAGGAAAAGCTTGTGACAAAATACAACACCCATTCCTATTAAAAACACTAGAGAGAACAGGAATAAATGGAGCTTTCTTTAAAATAAGTATTATCTATCTAAAACCATCAGCAAGCATTTTCTGTAATGGGGATAAACTAGAATTCTTCCCAGTAAGATTGAGGTGAAACAGGGATGCTCATTATCACCACTATTGTTCATTACTTTACTAGAAATGTTAGCTATAACAATAAGAGAAGAAAAAAGAATAGAAGGAATTGGACTAGGCAGTGAGGAAACAATTATCACTCTTTGCAGATGACATGATGGTATACTTAGAGAATCCACTTAAAAATTAGTTGAAAACAATACTTTAGCAAAGTTGCAAGATATAAAATAAATACACATAAATCACCAGCATTTATATATATATATATATATATATATATATATATTGCAAGAGAGAGAAAGAGAAATTCCTTTTAAAATAACTGTAGACAACATAAAATACTTGAGAGTCTGCCTGCCAAGACAAACCCAAGAACTGTGTGAACACAATTACAAAACACTTTTTATACAAATAAAGGCAGATGTATACAACTGGAAAAATATCATTTGAGTAGGCTGAGCCAATGTAATTAAAATGAAAGTTCTACCTAAATATCTATTTATTAAATGCATTATCAAACTGCCAAAAATATTTTATAGAGCCAGAAAAAATAAATTCGTATAGAAGAACAAAAAGTCAAGAATGTCAAGGGAATTAATAAAAAAAATGTGAGGGAAGGTAGCCTAGCTGTACCAGATCTCAAACTGAATTATAAAGTGGTATACATCAAAACAATCTGGTGCTGACTAAGAAACAGAGTGGTGATCAGTGGGATAGATTAGGTACACAATACGCAATATTAAATTACCATAGTAATCTAGTGTTTGACAAGTGCAAAGACCCAACCTTTTGGAACAGGAACTCACTGACAAAAACTGTTGGGAAAACTGGAAAATAGTATAGCAAAAAACTAGGTATTGATTTACGTCTCATACCATATGCCAAGATAAGGCAAAAATAGATACATGATTTAGATATAAAGGGTCATACCAGAAACATTAGGAGAGCAAGGAATAGTTATCTGTCAAATCAATGGAGAAGGGAAAAATTTGTGACCAAACAAGAGATGGAGAACATTATGAGATATAAAATGGATGATATTGATTATATTAAATTAAAAAGGTTTTGCACAAACAAAACCAGTTGCAACCAAGATAAGAAAGAAAGCAGAAAGCTGGGAAATAATTTTTACAGCAAGTTTCTCTGATAAAAATCTTCATTTCTCAGATACATAGAGAACTGAATCAAATTTATAAGAATACAAGTCATTCCCCAATTGATAAATGGTCAAAGGATATGAATAGGCAGTTTTCATATGAAGAAACAAAAGCTGTCTATAGTCATATGTGAAGAAAATGCTCTCTTTCACTATTAGTTAGAGAAAGGCAAATTAAAACAACTCTGAAGTGCCACCTCATACCTATCAGACTGGCTAATAAGACAGAAAAGGGAAATGGTACATGTTGGAGGGGATGTGGAAAAATTGGGACACTAAAGCAATATTGGAGTTGTAAACTGATATAGCCATTCTGGAGAACGATTTGATTTGATCCAGCAATACCACTACTAGATCTGTATCCCAAAAAGATGCAGAAAAGGGGGAAATATTTATAGCAACTCTTTGCGGTCACAAAGAATTGGAAATTTAGGAAATGTCTATCAGTTGGAGAATAGTTGAACAAGTTGTGGTATATGATTATAAAGGAATACTGTTTGTGCTATAAGAAATGACAAGCAGTGTGGTTTCAGAAAAACCTGGAAAGTCTTATATGAACTGATGCAAAATTAAGTGAGCAGAACCAGGAAAACATTGTATACAGTAACAGCAATGTTATACAACAATCAGTTGTGACTTAGCTATTCTCAGCAATACAGTGATCCAGGACAATTCCAAAAGATTCATGATGAAAAATGCTATTCACCTCCAGAGAAAGAACTGATTGAGTCTGTGAATGCAGATTGAAGCATATTATTTTTCACCTTTTTTTTTATGGTGGTTTTTTTTTTGGCTGTGTTTTCCTTTCACAACATGACTAATGTAGAAATATGTTTTGCATGATTACACAAATATAATCTGTATCAAATTGCTTACTCTGTTAGTGAGAGAGGAGGAAAGGGAGAGAGGGAAGGAGAGAAACTGGAACTCAAATTAAAAAAGAAAGTTAAAAGTTTTTACATGTAATTGGGAAAAAAATAATCAAAAAAAATTTTTTAAAGTGTTTTTTTTTTGGCAGTTGGCGTTAAGTGACCTGCCCAGGGTCACACAGCTAGTAAGTGTCAAATGTTTGGTCTGAGACCAGATTTGAACTCAGGTCCTCCTGACTTCGGGGCTGGTGCTCTATTCACTGTGCCACCTATCGGCCCCTAAAATAAGTCTTAAAAAAATCTTTATATTTTTCATGAACTCACTGAATTTGTGCCTAACCTATATTTTTCTGTGACGCTTTGCTTGTAGATGCTTCAGAGTCATTCTCTTTTATTTTTGTGTTTTAAGTGTCTCTATCACTGTAAGAGTTTTTAATGACTAGATTCTTTTTTTGGGGGGGGGAGTTGCTCATTCTTCTTATCTCCTGACTTCAGACTTAATGTAACGACTGGGTTTTGCTACACTTACGGAGGGAAGATCTAGGCTGGTCCTGTTGCTGCTTTCTTGTCACATTGAGTGTTATATTCCAGATCTCTGGTACAGACTGAGGACCTGCAAATTTTCAGTACTCCCAAAATGGTTTGATCCAAGGCAGTTTAAACATTGACCCCCTGATCTGACCTCTGTAAGTTCCTGGCCTGGGTTTGGGTCTGAGCAGGAAGACATTGCTACTAGATTTAGCCCTTGTCCACCAAATGGAAAGCTCTGCTGGTTCAGAGCGACAGAATTGTAGTCTCCCTTTTGATGTGGAATTTCTGTCCTAGTTATTCCTCTGCAGGCTTCAAATTGGGCTAGATGTTGGAACTGAGACCCTGAATGGCTTTTGGGATGTGAGCTACACTGCTGATGCTTGCTTCTGAACTTCCTCCTTTCTCAGTACACTGCCCAGGGCCTTCCCAACCAGGAATGGAACTCCAGGGCACAGATCTCCGTCTTGGTCCACCCTGGATCTGTGATCCAAAACTGGGAAGGAGCACCAAAACTTCCAGTTGGCACCTGTTCCTGCCAGATCTCGTCCTCAATGTCTGCAGACCTCTGTGTCTGCCTCCCTATTCTGACTTGAGCTGGATAAATGACGCACTGTGACCTTTTCTGATTTCTCTATCAGAATTTGATCTGATGATTCTTTTGAAGGAATGTGTTTTTTTGTTTTTTTTTTTAATTAGAAGCAGAGGAGAAAGCTCAGTTTACTGCTTCCTTCTCCCATTAGGGTTATAGTCTAAAAAAAACCTGTAATTAGAAAACTGAGAAATCACTGTAAGAGGAAAGAATGAAATTAATTATATGATTGTCCCCCAATACTATATGTTTTACTTACTAGAAAATAGCCTCATTTAATCCTATGGGTTACTTACAGGCTGTAGCTGCTTTTGCAGTTTCGGCTGTGGCTTCTCAATGGGAGAGGACTGGTAAACCATTTAATCCACTACTGGGGGAAACATATGAATTAATCAGGTAAGAACAAAAGAACAAATAAATGGTACACATCACTGATATCTAGTGATTGAAATTCCTTTAGCAAATGAAAAAAATCTTTACATTCATCGTCTAATTTGATTCTCATAACAACACTGTGAGGTAGGTATTGTTCTTATAGATGACAAAAATTGAAGCTTTGCAACATTAAGTGACTTGCTTTGGATAGCACAGCTACTAAGAGTCTAAGGCAGGATTTGAATCCAGGCCTTCCTGACTGCAAGTTTGGCATTTTATCCACTACACTATGCAACCTTCTCATTACAATATTGAAAACAACATTAAAACATGTTCAAGCACTGGGCGTATAAGTGAATTAAAATGCATCAGTCAACTTTCTGAAGTAGTGCAGGTTCCAGCTGCAACCCTTACCAACTGTGACCTTTGACTCTCTCAAATCTCCATGTCCTTCAATTTCCTTTCTTATAAAATGGGGATAATATATTACCTACTCCACAGGGTTGTTTTGAGTAAAATGTTATGTAAATTTTAAACTAGTATATGAGTAATGTTATCATTTCTACTACAATTTTTATTATTTTGGCATAGTGGGTAGAGAGCAGCCCTATAGACAGAATTCTCTGAGGTGAAGTCTGTTTTCTGAAATGGACTGCTTGTGTGACCGTAGATATGTCATTTAACATCTTAGTGCACCTAAAATTCTTAAGTTTTAGGTGAATTGCTGATCTGCATTAGGAGGTCCTCACACAGTAAAAGCACACATTCAGAACAAAACAGTTTTAAAAATAATTATTTAGCAATTGACAGTATTATAGTGCCAGACGGTCATTATTCTGAGAATCAATTTTTATAGAGCAAGACTATAGTATATGCATTATACTATATACTATATATCTATATGCTATCTATCTATCTATCTATATCTACATCTATATCTATATCTATATCTATATATAGATATAGATAGATAGAGAGAGAGAGAGAGAGAGAGAGAGAGAGAGAGAGAGAGAGAGAGAGAGAGAGACATTGTGTTGACTCTGGGAGGGAGAGATTAAGGAAAGAAAAGATCCTTGACATCACCATATTTTCTTGTCATTTCTTTCTTCTAGAAGTGAAGTACAGAATTTCTGGTTAATTGAAATTTTAAATTGGGGAGAGGGTAGATTAGCTATTTTTGGTAACATAAACGTGCTCATTTTGTGCACATAAATGTGTACTATCATGTATGAAGGCAATAATAAATGTCATATTTTCCAGTTCTCCTCTGCTTTCTGACCAAGTCTTTAATTTCTCTGCAGATAGTCCAGCTGACAGCCTTTCTGTGTGTACAGCTAGTGTTTGAATACTGTCTTGATTTTTCATTTGATTTAGATACTCGCTGGCACAGAAGAGCTGAGCAGCTGCTCTTGAAATCTCATTACCTTTTGAGAGAGCTTGAGTGGTTAACAGGAATACATTGTACATGCTCCAGTGCTTCATTTCATTATGGATAGTGGAGGTCAGCATGTGATCACAATCATATTTTGTTAGAACTGGGAAAAGACCTTAGAAATCCAACAGACTTGTTTTACAGATGAGGAAACTAAGGCCCAGAGAAAGGTGTGTGTTCATACTTTTGTACTCATGACACATTTTCCAAGTATTCCTCTTGACTCTGGCTAGACCCTCTTTCCTTTTGACTTATTGTTTATATTTTAGATATGAATTTGATGCCACTCATGAAGTTTTTTATTAGCATTTTGGTCACTAAAAGGCAAAATATAAAGAGTATATTTAATTTACTGCATAATGAAAAATTGTAGAGAATAAGTCTTTTTTAAAGGGATGAAATATTCTCAGAAGCTTGGAATGTTTAATAAAGCACGACACCTAATGGTGTCTAACTTTACAAACTTATTTCATTAAACTAAATTTCACAGACTGATAAAATTATTGTTACATTTTGGGAAAAAGAAATCACATCTGATAAATCGTGATTTAATTCTTAGTTTATACTTTCATCAAAGAATGTCTTTCCACTTTTATTTTACATGTAAGACCTTGAACAATCTTTCTAATGTGGAGGTAACATAAATAAGCTAAGCCATTTACTAATGCCTTTTTTCCTCTACAAGTTCCTCTTTTATAGCTAAAAATATGCTTTCTTTTCTTGGCTCGTGAGCATTCATTTTGTAAATTACATCCTTTGGTAGGCAGGTTTTTAAAATCTTATGTTTAAACTCTCCTTCCTCTCCGCAAAACACTTCTGGTTAACGACTGGAAATTCTAATTCTGGTTAAGTTAGTAATTATGTGGTTTAGCTTTTTAATGACTGCAACTGTGGGTGTATTCACAGTACCTGAACAATTATCAGCTGACATTCTTATTGAGAGAGGATTTTAAAAATCATGTCCCTGGCCAGAAATATATTAAACTATAAGAAATACCATGAGAATATCTTCAGGAATGTTCTAAGGATGCCTGAAGAAATGCTGTTCCAGGAAAGCCATTTTAAAAAGTAAAATGGTTGGTTTCTTGGGCAGTGGTGAAGGCTTAGACATGGAGTGTCTACTTTAAATTTAATGTTTTAACATCTTAGTACACCTACAGCTGTTATGGTTTAGGTGAATAGTTGATTTGCATTGGGAATTCTTGGCATTATTGTGCCAGAGATAGTGCAAGAACTTCTTATGACAGGTGTCTAATTCACTGGTTCTGATCTTCCACTGCTTTATCCATAAGCTACTTCTTACTATCAACTCTTAATTATTCTAATATAATACCACATACTAATTCTATGAAGTATACCTAGGGGTCCATGTAGAGAGCCTTTCATATTCCTTTCCTTGTCATGTTGTCAGATTTGTTTCATGTTCTCCTAAGGTGAAATAGTGATGTGTTTTGTCAGCATGCTGCCTAATTATACAGTCTGTTGAAATAAAATAATTATGTATTAAACATTTCTGGCCAAATACTATTTGTTCGGAATGATAGAACATATGTTCTTCTACTTCCCACTCTGCTTATAAAGGACAAGAATTGGGATGTGTCCTAACCAAACCTCAAATGACATCAATTTACCACTACCTGCCAACTGATGGGAGCTATGAAAATTGGTGTAGATTCAGTATTTGTTTTGATTTATGGGTTGACCTTTATTTCAATTTCAGTAACTGATTTTGTTTGAATTAATGTGGACCTTTATCCTTTCCATATTCCCCCTCCCCTTCTTTTTTTGGTTTCTAGGGATGATTTAGGATTCAGATTTATATCTGAACAAGTCAGTCACCATCCTCCCATTAGTGCGTTTTTTTCAGAAGGTCTCAATGAGGACTTTATCTTTCATGGCTCAATCTACCCCAAATTGAAGTTCTGGGGGAAAAGTGTAGAAGCAGAGCCCCGAGGAACAATTACACTGGAGCTTCTCAAGTAGGTATTAGGTAATTTAGCTCGTGGCTCTCTCCCCTTTAAAGGAGAGATGAGCTGTTTCGTTGAAATATAATTTGCTTAATAAACATCTCTCTTTTCTTTATTGTGTCCATGCCTTTATAGTTTGATGGATTAATTTATCTCCCCTAACTTGGTCTAGGTAGATTCTGTTAAAAATAGTAATCTTTTTTAATTGAAATACTTTGTTCACCTTTCTAATACTGAAAACTAACTTAAATACAGGTTTTGAATTAATCATATGATCTAGATTTTCAGTTAACCTGGAGAAGTTGTTCAAATGTCTGGCTACTCAGGGACTTTCAAAAGTTTTTTGTACACTATTAATATTCTCTAATCTTTTGCTTAGCACAAGCAGAACTCTCTAATTTAGTGATGTATAATAAGGTTAGAAGATAACCTCACAGCCAAAAGTAGTAACTTATAGAGCAGCCGCCCGGCATTCAGGAGGACCTGAGTTCAAGTCCGGCCTCAGACACATAAGGCTTACTAGCTGTGTGACCCTGGGCAAGTCACTTAACCCCATTGCCTAACCAAAAAAACCCAAAACAAAAGTAGTAACTTAGTTATTTGAGTATAGCAATATGATTTTAGAGACATTATTAACATAATCATTTCCAGCTATGAATTAGCAAATATTTATACAGTATATGCAAAGTATTATTCTGGATATTTAGGGAAATATAAATATAAATTAAAAATGGGCTCTGCTCTGAAGGAGTTTGTAATTTAGTAAGATAAAACATGTACACAAATATATATTTATCATAGTCTACTTGTGTTATAAAAGAGGTACAAACAGAATTTTGAAGGTTTGGAACAAGGAGTTCCAGCTTGAGAATTATGGAAGATTTTTAGAGGATGTGATATTTGAGCTGGGCTTTGGATATTGGACAACAGCATTCCAATAGGCAGTAAACACTGTGAATATGAGAAAGCTCAAGGCATTTGGAAAACAGTAACTTTTTCAAGTTGGTTAAAACATAAGGTTTATAATTAAAGATAAAAAAGTGGGTTTTGGAGTGCTTTGAACGTCAGGCTAACAGTCAACAAGCATTTATTAAGTACTTACTATAGGCCAGGCTCTGTGCTAAGAATAGGCCAAATACTCTACTCTGAAGGAACTCACAATCTAATACAAGCAACTTAAATAGGAACAAGGTATATATGTAGGGTAAATTGGAGATAATCTCAGAGGGAAGGCACTAAGATTAAAGAGCACTGGGAAAGGCTTCTTGTAGAAGGTAGAACTTTAGCTAAGATTTGAAGGAAGCCAGGAGGCAGAGATGAGAAGGGAGAAAATTCTAGGCATGAGGGACAGCAAATAAAAATGCTCAAAGTTGGGAGATGACTGGCTTCCATTAGGAATAGCAAGGAGGCCAGCATCACTAGATCACTAGAGTACATGGCGAAGAGTAATATGTAAGAAGACTAGAAAGGTAGGAAGGGACCAGGTAATGAAAAGCTTAACAAACAAGGGTTTTATTTGGAAGACAATGGAAAATCACTGTTTAGAGTCTAAACAGTAGAGTTCAACTGGAGGTGTTTATAATTAAAAAAGGTTAATCTGATTTTAATGCACAGCTTGGATTATAACAAGGAGAAAATAGAAATACAGAGACTGATAAGTCAGTTATTTCAGGAGTCTAGATGAAATGGAGCTCAGCTGGGACATTTCATTTTGGCAGCCAACTCCATATGCTATCATATACATAAACTAGTATCTTGGAGCTTTGCTATAACATGACTCATTGCTACATAGATGTATTCAACCAAATACATCAGTGTTGGACCATCTCCAAGGAAGTTTGTCATAAGTACCAGGAAAGCTTATAATAGTAGTCTTCTCTGTGACACAGTCCAAGGTCATATACCTTGAAGATAGCATTGTAGGGAAGGTCTTGACAAAGGAAAAAAAGTCTTTTTAGACAAATAATATGGCTATAATCCCTTAGTAACACTTTTTATTCACTGATAGACTCCACAGAATTTAAGCCACTTTGACACATTTTAAACTGCCTTTTGTATCCAGCCTGGGTAACTTGAGTCATAGTATATAGGATACATTTGCTTTGATGTTGTAGATATTGTAGTGGGTTTTGTGCTTTAGGGACTAGATTATACCTCCTTCCAGCTCCAGGATCCCATGATCTAATTTTTGCTAGTAATTATAGCTGTTTAAGGTATTTAGCACAGTACTTGCAACATAATAGACTCTTAATAAATGTTTCTTGATTGATTGATTGGTTTAAGGTAGCATCACTATAAATATAGACTGCTTATTTTTTAAGTCTAAATTTCTGTTAATTTCTTTTTCTCCAAGAAAGGACATTTGGTGGTAATCATGATTAAAAGGAAAAATAGCTAGAGGATGTGTAGTATGGGACAGTTCCTTATACCTCCAAGTTTTCACACCAGTGAACACATAGTTACCACAACATGGGTTTTGTAGAGTGTTTCTCTTGGGACAGCTTCATAGAAAAGCAATTTTCCTTTGTCTCAGTCTTTTATTGCTTATTAACTTTCCTTGACATTTAAGTAAAAGGCTTTGTTGAGGTTACAAAGGAAAGAAAAAATAAATTTCAAACGAATGCTAAATAAATAGCCCCTATTGAGGGAGTTCAAAGAAATATTGTGCTCTTCTACAGGGTTTAAGATCATTATGGTTTAATTCTGTTTGGGATTTTGCTTCTTTGGGTCATGCAATGAGTTCGCTTTTCTGGTTTCTGACTTGCTTGTTTTTTGGCATCTTTCACAGACATAATGAAGCCTACACGTGGACAAATCCTACCTGCTGTGTACATAATATAATTATTGGCAAATTGTGGATAGAACAGTATGGAACAGTTGAGATTTTAAATCACAGGTAATAGAACATACTTGTGGAGTTAAAACATTTCTCCAGCTAAAAGATACCGACCATGTCTTTATGTAATGACCAAACAAGATCATGGCATGGTTATCTGTTATTATTCCAAAAGGAACATAGGACTTAGGATAACTGAGTTCAAGTCCCAACTCTGACACTTTTGACCATGGCCACATCACTTAAACACTCTGTACCTCATTTGTACAATGTGTATAATTATATTTCTTAATGTGCTATATATAAGCACAAGGTATTGTTGATGTTTATTTTTATGTTTTTGTCTTAAACTGTTACATGTCATGTGTTGTTACTTTACTTTTCACATGTTCTTGTTTATTGCACTGAATTGTAAACTCTTTAAGAACAAGGGTCTTGTCTTATATTTATATTCCCAGTACCTAGCATAGTGCCTTGCATAGGATGAGTGCTGAAGAAATATTTGTTAGCTTTGATTTGTGATTGATGCCATCATATAGTTAAGCACTTTTTACATTTTGATCAAAGCTTGAGTTGGTTAATCTTGTTTTATTTTGTCCTTCAACAAACAATTATTATGTCAAATATATGTGAGGCACTGAAGATACAAAAATGAAAAATGATAACACTTCTGCCTTCTAGGAGCACTTTGTAGCCTAGTAAAGAGGATGAGATGTGCACAGGTTAACACAATTTAGAAAATGATTCAATGTATAGGAGAGGTCAAATAGAGTGACATGAGAGGTTCAAGGAGAGAAGAATAATTTATAACTGGGAGCATCATGGAAGAATTTATGTGACAGAGGAATCCTAAAATTGGCATTGAGGAAGAAATATTTCAAAATGTAGAGATGAAAGGCAGTGAGAGGTAATCTGTTTTGGTGAGATTTGGAGGATCTGAGGAATGTTATGGGGAATAGCATTCACAAATGTGAAAGAGAAGAGGATAAGATCAGGGAATAAGAAATAGCTGGTTTTTACTAGAGCACAAGAATATGTGAAAAGGAGTAGTGTAAAACAAAGCTGGAGAGGTAGTTTGGGACTGAATTGTAGAGGAATGCCAAATTAATGAACTGGTCTTTTACCCCATAGGCAGTGGGGGTTTTGAGCATAGGAAGCTGACTTTGGTAGTGGCAACTTTGACTAGATTGGAGAAGGGAGGCACAGAAAGCAGAGACACGTGGTATGAGGCTATTTTAATGGAGCAGGCAAAAAAGTAATAAGGGCCTGAGCTAGAGTTTTGGCAGTGAAAGTAGAAAAAGGGAGGTTCATTCAATCAATGTGTATAAGAAATATTTCAGAGCTAAAAAAAAAAGCAGAATTTGACTCTTTCATCTAACCCATCCAACTAGTTTCCAGGGATGATTCCAAGATTTTGAAGGAATAGGATAATGCCAATGCCATTAGCAGAATTTGGTAGTTAGGAGGGTTACATTTTGGAGGGAAGATTTTTGTTACCTCCCTGTACAGTTTACCAAATGTCTTATTTGAAAGTATAGATGAAAGAAAGTAAAAACCAAAAACCAAAAACTTGATGGGTTAAAGTGAGGCAGCTGGAAATAAAACCACACAAAATCAAGCCCCTGGAAGAACCTGGTGAGGTTACAAGTTTGAATAGATGACTTCTGAGGGCCCTTTAACAGTTAGATTCTGTGATAAGTTTTCTTGGAAATATGGGGCTAAAGCTTAAGGGAAAGGTCAGGGTTAGTTGAAAAGATTTGGAAGTCTCCTACATTGAGGTAACAGTTGGAGCCATGGGAGTGGGTGATATTGCTTGGAAGTGAAGTGAGAAGGGGAGAGAAAGAGAGAAAGGAAGAAAGGAGGAAGAGACACAGAATGATGAGGAAAGGAGAGAAAGGAGTCATAGGAAGGAGAGAAGAGAAAAAGGTGAGAGAGGGGAAGAGAATATATTATGTATAGAATAAATGTATGTGCGTGTATATAAAAATGTATGTGTGTGTGTGTATACATGCACACGCACACACACATGCACACACACACACACACACACACACACACACACACACACACACACATATACATACAAGCTAGATGGTTCAGTGGATAGAGAGCCAGGACTGGAGTCAGGAAGACCTGAGTTCAAATCCACTCAGGTGGCAGCTAGGTGGCACAGTGATTAGAAAACTGGGCTTGGAATCAGGAAGACTCACCTTCATGAGTTCAAATCTGGCCTCAGACACTTAATAGCTGTGTGATTCTGGGCTAGCTGTGTGACCTTGGATGAGTTACTTAACCCTGTTTGCATTAATTCCTCATCTGTAAAATGAGGTAGAGAAGGATATGGCAAACCCCTCCAGTATCTTTGCCAAGAAAACCCCAAAATGGGGTTACAGTGAAATGATGTGGTACAACAAATGTGCCAAGCACTATGCCAAGATGCCTGAAGTACTCCCTAAAGTAGACTTTTTGCCATCCCAGACTTCATCCTCTAGGTATCTAGGGTTCTAGAGTGCTACCTATGAGGAGAACTCTAACCCATTTTAATACCAAATTTCTAAGTGTAGGGGTCAGCTATGCATCCAAAGGGGTTGCTAAATACTTATAAATCTCAGTGTCCTTAAGACACCGGGACTGGTGGAATGAGAGAATGGGCATAGGGGGAAAGAGGAGACTTAGCTGCTGGGAGCATTTGTGCCAGGTAGAGTCCTGGGTATGTCTCATACTCCTACCATTTGGGGGGTAAACTCTGTGAGGATAGCAAAGGATAGCATTGTGCCCTATAGGGACCTAATCAACTTTTTCCTTAGTCACTCAAGTTTAAGAATTATGAAAAATCTTGGCCCTCCTGGAGTGACAGGCCAGGCCTTAATCCTGTTCCCAGTCATCATAGGACAGATGGCCCCTATCCATTTTGTCATTTCCTATCTTATGGCAAGTACATTCCCTCTTAATAACCTTATCCTTGTGCTTCAGAGGGAGGTCTGCTGAAGTCAAAATCCTCTTCCCTTCTTTATCTCCCTGTGCTCTTACCCATATGCACTTCAGTCCTACTCCCCCATAGTCCATACACTCTTCTTTCTTCCTGTTACATTGTGCCCTCCAAAATACTTGTGTCATTGTAACAGAAACTTGACTCTGTCCAGAAGTTACTGTAGTGTTTTTACCTTTCTTAGTACTGTTTGTTATATCATGCCAAACCGCCCCCCACCCCCAACAGGAGTTTGACCAGAAGGAGGTGTAGCTGTACTACTCCATCCTACATCCATATTGTGCCTTTGCTGACACCACTCAGCAAACCTCTTTATTTGTGAATTCATCTGCTGACCTCTAGGTCATTTTCCCTCCTCTTTTCTTAAGCTATTTAGTGCTGTAGTGGGGGCCATTCTGATCTATATCTGGCCACTGGATTCAGAAGGCTCCAGAGGAGAAAGTGAGGCTGGTGACTTTGCACAGCCCTCGCTCACTTGAATCCAGTTCATTTGCAAGTCATGACATCACCTTCCTGATCATCACCTTCGAGAATGACGGATGGACAACAACAACATAGTGCTGTAGTACCAGGCTTATATTATTCCTCCCTCCCCCCAACCTTTCCTTTATACTTGAGGCCTTCTACATATTTGTTGATGTTTTCCCATGAACATACCGACATCCCATTTTATTAATTTTCTGAACTCCCATGAACTTAAGTAGAATCTTCATTCTACTTACACCACACACAGGGATTTTCATACCCTTGAACTGACCATGACTCTTAACTGTTCTGTCCAGAATTTTGAAATTCCCCTCTTTGGACAGACCCTCTTCTCTTTCAGTCTTTCCTTCTGTTTCACCTTTCCTAGAACTATTCATCCTCACAATGGTCTAAAGTCACTCTGCTCCTTCTTCTTTTAGCCTATCCCTTTATTCTGGCCTCATGTCCCTCCCTCCATACATATGTTGTCATCTGCCCTCTTGTCAAATTTTGCCAAACTTCAACCCTCATTTATCTCCACTATTTCCTTCTTCATTTGTGCTCATGTGCTGAACATTCCTAGAGAAAATTGTGTGACTATGTTAACTGAGTTGACTATAAATTTATCTCATCTAACCTCAAACTGGAACCTCATTTCTGCAAAGCAAACCTTTTATTCTTCCTTGATTGAGTATTACAGTCTTCACAGTGGCTATTGCAAACCTCTCCCATTATTCACTTTCTTCCCACTCCATCTCAACAGAAGACCTTGTTACATATTTTACTGAAAAAAAAAAGGGTTTCCTTTACAAACTTCCTCTCCTACTCCCACTCCACATCTTCAAGTCTTGGTCTATCATCTCCTATTCTCTCTTTCTTTGCTCTAGTCTCTGAAGAAGTGGGTCTTCTCCTTGCTGAAGCTAACCCTTCCACTTGTACAGTTATCCTCTGGGGGCTCCCCCCCCAACATCATTCTCGACCTCTTCCTGCTGCACTGATTCCTTCCCTCCTGCCAACAGATATTCCCAGGTCTCCTCCATCATCTAAAAAAATCCTTCACTTGTTGCTGCTATTTTCACCCTGTCAGGGACAAAATCCTAGAAAAAGCAGTTTACTACAGTTGTTTCTATTTCTTTATTTTCCACTCATTTCTTAATCCCTTTAAATCTGATTTTCAGACCCAACATTCAGCTAAAACTATCCAAAGTTACATGATCCTAACTACTAAATCCAATGGATTTTCCTGAGTCTTTGTTCTGCTTCACCTTTCTGAGGCTTTTGATGCTGTTAACTAATCCCTCCTCCTGAACATTCTCTCTTCCCTTGAATCTCTTCCTTGCCTCTCCACTCCTTGATTTTCTTTCATGAGTTATCTTCCTCTTTCTGATTTTTAAGTGTGAGTGGCCCCTGTCTGTCTTCTTTTATCTTGGTAAACTTTCTCCCTTGGTGCTCTCATCAGTTCTCATGGGTTAATGATGAGTGCAAATAAGTACAGAATCTAGAAATAAAAATAATTTACATTCATAGAGCCCTTTAAGATTTGTGAAGTGCCCTGAATACAGTCTCATTTGGTGTGTGTGTGTATGTGTGTGTGTGTGTGTGTGTGTGTGTATCTATATGTCCATACACACATTTGTTGTTGTTCAGTTATTTTTCAGTCGTGTCCAACTGTTTTGCGTGACCCCATTTGGGGTTTTCTTGGCAAAGATACTAGAGTAGTTTGCCATTTCCTTCTCCAGCTCATTTTGCAGATGAGGACCCAAGGTAAAAACAGTTAAGTGACTTGCCCAGGATCACGCAGCTTGGAAGTATCTGAGGCCAGATTTGAACTCAGGAGATGAGTCTTCCTGATTCCAAGCCTAGTGCTCTAGCCTCTGCACCACCTAGCTGCCCCCTTCCCCTATCTGCTCCTGAATACAGCTATTCAATGCTTAATAGATATACATATATATACACGTATGTGTGTGTGCATCCTGAATCCTAATCTTTTTCTTGAACTCCAGTCTCACATTTGCAACTAGGTACCCTATAGGCATGTGTAGAACCTCTGTCTTAGAGGTTTTCATCACTTTTTACATGAAGTTTTATAATAGCCTCCTAATTGCTCTCCAGTTCAAATATGGCTGCCAAATTAAATACATTTCCTAAAATACATCTAACCATATCAAACCTTATGGAAAAAAATCTTTAGTAACTCCATTGCCTCTAGGATAAAACAATTCTCAGCCTATAATAGGCTTATGGGCCTCCATAGACTGACTTCTGTTTAGCCTCCTAGTCTTATTTCATATATCTTTCTTTTACTCATTCTTTGTTCCAGTCTTATTATTCTGCTCACTTATACCACGACATGAGATTTCAACTCCTGCCTCTGTGTCTTTGTACAAGTTGTCTCCCATTTATAGAATACACTCTTTCCTCATCTTTGCCTCATAGAATCCTGAGCTTCTTTAAAAGTATTGCTCAGCACAATGAGCAGTAGCAAGGTTGGGCCTGTAAATGGCCATTACATTTCCAGCCTGTGCAAGATAGGAAGACCTAGTTTCAAAAAAAAAAAAAAAAGCTATGGAACAAGATTCTTCTACTTCTTCACAAACTGTAGCTGTCCCTTCAAAGCTCTGATCAAATTCACCTCCCTGAACCAGGCTTTAAGTCCCTCAAAACCATGGGCATCCTCCTGTCTCTCAGTTGGAAGGGTCCTATTTCCAAGAAGCTGACCAACCTAGAATCTCCCTAGTTTTGCATATACAATGGACACCCAATAAACACAGCTGCTTGGTTAAAAAAAATACTGCTCAGATTTACCTCTTAAGCAAGTCTTTTCCTGATTCTCATCTTCTTCCCCTAGTTATTAATACCTTCTTGAAATTATCTTATTATCACATCATTTTACCTTACTTACTCATACTTATTTTCCTCTAATAGAGTATAAGCTCTTTGGGGGTGGGGACTGTTTCTTTTTTGTCTTTGTATTCCCTGTACCTCATACAGTACCTGGAATATATTAGGCACTTAATAAATGTTTGTTGAATTTTACTGGACATCATAGGATATGAGGTTAAGGGATTGAGAGGCCTGGGTGTTAGGGTCATTTATGTGACTATCCAGGTTGCCAGAAATGATGGCATAGGATGGGGAGAAGAGGAGTCTGTGCCCATGTCACTAAGGAAGGCAGGAGAATGCTGTGAAGGTCATCAGATAACAGCAACAAAGATTGGTAAAGGGATTCTGTTTGAATCTGTTCCAAACATTGAATACTTATATTTGCTTCTGAGGCAAATTGCTTGTAATCTTTGAAATGTGATGGGAAAATTTTTATAATGCAGTGGAGTTTTATGGTTTCTTTTTCAGAACTGGAGATAAGTGTGTACTTAATTTTAAACCATGTGGGCTGTTTGGCAAAGAACTTCATAAAATAGAAGGATACATTCAGGACAAAAGGTAGGTGCAAATCATTGTTGGTTCAAAATAGTTTTTGTCTTTATTTTAAACAAAGCTTCTATAGAAATCATTTTAATTTGGACTTTAATTTTTGAAAATAATTGTGTTTTGAACTTAAATTTTTTTTACATCTAGATTTATGATTTCATTGGTATAGAGGAGCTCCTAGTAAGGAAACTTTTTCTACTAATGCAAATTTAACTTCAGAGTCTTAGAGAGTTTCTAGGGAGTATAGAGAGTTTAAATGACTTACCCAGAGTTATATAGCTAGTATGTGTCTGGGAAAGGACTGGACTCCAGATCATTCTAACTCTGAGGTTGGCTTTCTGGCCACTACTCCATGTTGTTTTTCTTATGATTGGACATCGTAAAATGTTTGAAAAATTTACCAATAAGATTAAAAAATCAAACCTTTATTGCTTTCTTTGACTATTGATTAAAATCCTCAAATTGCTACTGTTTTTATTAGATTTGACCATATCTATAGCTTGTCTATGTAGAACCTATTTTCAAATTAGAAAAGGTAGGGAAACCATTTAATAGGTGGGTTTTGTTTTCATTTTTGGTGTAGTGATAAGTGATTAGATCCCTAGGAAGATTTCTTCTGTGATGATACTGTCGATATCAGTGATCTTAATATGTGATTTGTGTAATTTTCTCACATATTCCTTTAGAGAAATTATGTGGCCAATTTAAAAGCAGAAGTGTGAATTTGGTTTCATTATGTACCTTTTATCTGCTTAAAGCTGAGCCTCGTTGACTATTTTGTTGTGAGAGATGGTTTTTTTCTCATGATTGAGTTTTTGGATTTCCATAGTTTAAATACCTTTTTTACTTTAACAAGCAGATAGATTGTTAATGGCATTGTAATAAACAACTTGACTTTTGCCTTAACTTATTTCAGTGGCTTTTGTGAAAAGTGACCCTTCTTGGGCAGGTCATTTCACCTCTGAGATTCAGATTCCTCATCTAAAAAATAAAAAGCTGGAATTAATTTATGGTTTCTTCTAATTGGAACTTTTTATTTTAAAATGAAAACATTTGGTGTTTCTTAGCCTTCTGTGCCCTACTGGGTTTTAAGACCTGTTCAAATAACCCATAAAGTAACTTGGAAAAAAAGGATTAAGAAATTTCCCTCATTTGAATAAATTATAATTCAGCTTACACATTTGAAAGAACAGCAGCCTTGTTCATTAGAACAGAAAAGTTGCATTGCACATACACTATTTCTCAACCACCAAAGAGCCAGTCTTATGCATCATGAAAACCGTTTTTTGTACTCATATCAAGGTACTTTATAGAGACATATTTTCAGGGGATTCTATCCAGGGCATGTGATTTGGAGTCCTGGTGCTCACTACCTCTAGGTGTTCATATTCTTGCTTGTTCTTGGTTTTCTAGTTTTCTGCTTTTAGGTTAGGTTGCATTATTCCTGAAAGTGTACCTTTATAAATGTCATTCTCCTTCTAGGAAGAGATCATTTTTCTTACTGTTAGATCACTGTGCTTGCCTAGTCCCTGGCGTGAATTTCACAGATAATAGTATCTTTACAGTAACACTAATAATACTAATGCCATTTACATGGCATTTTAAGGCATATAAAACTCTTTGCATACATTTGCACATTTGGTCTTCACAATAGTCCTGTTTCTGTTATCTCCTTTTTACAGTTAAGGAAACTGAGGCTCGTAGAGGTTAAACGTCTTGCCCAGGGTTCATGCATTCCATATCACAGGCAGGCTCAGAATCCAGATCTTTCCTGACTTCAAGTTTAGTGCTGATTCCAAGCAGAACTTTGAAAGGTGGCACCCTTCTACTACTCTGCGTGCTAGAAAAGCATAAAACATATATGTTACCTTTTAAGATGTTGAACAAATGTGAAATTACCCTCTAGAGTAATTAAACCCAAGCTCAAGGAAATATTAGCTCTATCACCAGAAAAATCAATACTTTATGTCACCCCTTAAGCCTTGAATGCAGGCATATCATTCTTTCTTCTTCCCCAGTAGCTACGAAAAAAAATGACTGTTTTTGCTTATTACTTACCACTGGCTACATCCTTCTCAATCCTTTAATTTATTCCTTTCTTCTAAATTCTTAAACAAGAGAAGTGATCCATTCTGTAATGCTAAAACTTATGTGCCTTCTTTCTACTTTTTTAACCCTAATTGGGTTGTACATTTTGCAACTTGATCCTTTTTAATGAAAACCAATTTTCTCACCTCTGCTTGCCCCTTGTAGCATTGCCATTCACCTTTTCCATTTTTCACACCCTCATACTCTTTTCTGCCTTCCCAATAAACCTTAACTTTTTTAAGGGAATGAACTAAGAGCATGAATATTCTGTCCATAGTAATATGAATAAATGATCTAAACTAGTTTTTCAGTGTTTTTGTGCCCAGAGGCAGCCCAGATATTCTGTAGGAAAAAATGCCAAAAGAGGAAGCTAGAGCTACTGTTGAAATTAAAATCCTGCTAATTTAAATGAATGGTTTATAATTTATATTAACTGTACAGAAAAGAAAATAAAGTTCTTTTTAACCACAGCAAAAAGAAGCTCTTTATGATATATGGCAAGTGGACGGAATGTTTATGGGGCATAGATCCTGTTTCCTATGAGTCCTACAAAAAGCATGAAAGGAAAGGTGACCACCAGAAAAAAGCAAAACCGGTAAGGTTTGTAATACTTGGAATAAGTGTCCGTGTGAATTTTTGTGGCATATCTGAGAACAAAAATAGGTGGATGAAGGGCTTCAGAGTAAATACATATAAATTAGCTCATGATTACTGACATCTAGCAAATTATCCTTACTTTCAACTAACCTATAAGAAGACCACAGTGTACCTTAGTGTCCCCAGATAAGAAGTGGGAAATGAATGGGGTAGTTACAGTTTTTCTGTTGTAATGAAACAGGCTAGCTGGTTTCTGGAGTTGATTGAAACTGAAAATTGTGAGCTGAGTGTCATTTGAGTTCACATCTTTCTAATATCTTTAGACTTTTAAAGTGATTACCTACCCAAAAGACAGGAAAACATCTTTCTCCTTGCAAGGTCTATGTTTTGGCATATTTCCCACAGAGACATGTAAGTTCTGTGAATTTTTTTATCCTCATAGTTAATGCTTATAATTATAAGCCCATATCTTTTCCTTCCTTTTAGTTTTCAGTACTAGATAATATATTCAATAATAATACAATAGTAGGAAAAAATCTTTTTTTTTCTCTGCCCTGTACAGTATTGTACTTTTGGACTAGCTCATTCTCCAGTCTAAAATTAAAGCTGGTCTTTTTGTGGTGGCAAAGAATTGGAAATTGAGAGGATGCCCATCAACTGGGGAATGGCTGAGCAAGTTGTGGTATATGAATGTAATGGAATACTATTGTGCTATAAGAAATGATGAACAGGCTAACTTCAGAAAAACCTGGAAAGACTTATATGGTCTGATGCTGAGTGAAGTGAGCAGAACCAAGAGGACTTTGTACACAATAACAGCCACATTATGCGATGACTAATATTGTTAAACTGAACCCTTCTCAGCATTACAAGGATCTAAGACATCTCCAGAGGCCTCGGGATGGAAAATGCTGTCCACATCCAAAGAAAGAACTATGGAAATTGAATCGCTATCACTTATTTTTACCTTCTGTTGAGTTTTGTTTCCTCTTTCTGATGGTTCCTCCTATTGGTTTTAATTTTTACTTACAACTTCACTAATGTGAAAATATGTTTAATAGGAATGTAAATGTAAAGCCTATATCAGATTGTGCGCCGTCTTGGGGAGGGTGGGGAAGGAGGAAGGGGGAGAAAAATTTTCAACTCAAAAGCATATGGAAGTGATTGTTGATAAATCAAAATAAATTAATAAAATTAAAAAAATAAAATGAAAGCTGGAATTTGAAAAGACACCTTATTTCTATTAGACAAATTGGAGTACACTGGAGATGTTCATTGTTGATTTAACATACCGTCAACATCTGACATACTTTGTCACTTTTATTTTACATTGTGATAGAAATGGATTGTAATAGTCACCTTTACCATTAATGCTCATTTATTTTAAAAACCTCATACTTCTGTTTAAAGAAAAGATGGTCCTCAAATGTTGCCTGTTGATTGATGTGTTTATACATGTTTAACCTTTTCAGCAAGTTTTAAAGTACTTGATTCATTTTTATTGCCAATGGCCTTTAAATGAAACTTTTTTTTAGTAAGAGTAACAGAATCATTCTTGAGTATATTTTCAGTTTTTCCTGTCATATGATATTAGTAAGGTAATAGGCATTCAGTTTTTACAAAGTGCTGTTTCAATTTATTGAAGCAGTTTTCAAGCTTTATTTTTCGTTCTTTTAATCAGCAAATTCAACTGGCAAGCTATACTACCAAAGTTTCCTTTGCATATTTTCTCCTCTTGATGTCCTTGTTTAATATGTTACACATATATATATCTGTACGCACATAAATATATGTATATATGTGAGGAGTTGGACTAAATTCCCTCTAAGGCTCCTTCCAACTTTGAATAAATGATCCTATATATCATACTGTCTTGTGGCTGACTCGGAAGTCCTAAGTCCACCTTATACTGAGGTATTTTTACCTAAAAATCACCAAATGGAAATGGCCTATGTCTTGAGGACAGAAATATACATCTGGATGACAGAAATGTGTCATTCAAGAAGATCAGTATGATCTCGAATAAAAATTCCATTTAAAAAGCATTTAGCCACTCTGAACCAATATTATGCAGTGTTGTGTTGTATGTAAACTGCTTGATAAGGGTAAGCAAATATTTTATCCTTTGGTTTACCCTATGCAGTTCTGAAAAGCAGTGAGCAAATTAGCACTGGTAAAACACTTGCAAGGGAAGGGTGCTGGATGCTCTAGAAATGGACAGTTTTATTTCTTTCCCTGAATTCATGATAACCTGACTATATTCTTAAATTGGGTAAGATGGGTTTTTTTTTTAATAAAATCCCTCTCTCAAGAAAAGGGGGAGGGGGCAGCTAGGTGGCGCAGTGGATAGAGCACTGGCCCTGAGGAGGACCTGAATTCAAATCTGGCCTCAGACACATGACACTCACTAGTTGTGTGACCCTGGGCAAGTCACTTAACCCCAATTGCCTAAAAGCAAAAAAAAAAAAAAAGAAAAGGGGGAAAAGTGGGGTTTATTAAATTCTTCCCTGTATTTTATTAACACAAAGTTGTTGACAATTTCTGAAGTTTAGCAATCAAATCTTATATATAGTGACATTTCATAAAGTGCTTTGGAAATAGAGTTCAATTAACTGAATACCAGGAAGGCAGGAATTGTCTGGACCAACCTAGTTGCTGTAGTATACTTGTTAGCAACTCATAAAAGCTTTGGAAAGTGGAAACCAGATGAAGAGCCTGGGCCTATTGGTTTAAATAGGAAATTAAACTACAGTTGGTGTTTAATGATTTGGGAACACCATAGTAAACATGTAGTTAAACAGTTTAATGGTGGAAATTTTATTGGAAACTTCAAGTACTTCAGAAATAATGTTACAAAGGTAGATTTTTAAATTTTCCTTTGTATAATCTTTTGAAATTCAAAGTAATTCCTTTGTTGTTTAGTGTTTAGCCTCCATAAGTGCTCTCTTCCATGTCCTTGCACTGTAGTGTCCACTAAACTGAGAGTATAGGTTTTTAAGACTTCATGAACAAACGGTGCCTATTGGTTTGCTCAGTTGTCCAGTGAACCTTTACATCTTCACTTTGAGCTTCATGTTGTGCAAGCATCCTTAAGGCATTCAGCTGTGGTGGGTATGAAGTTGAGTTCCAGCCCTTACGAAGCTTACACTCTGATAAAAGGAATGAGAGTTAAGCAATAGGTTACCTTAATTGAGTAAAGGCCAATATTATATGACAAGGGCTTTAGAGAGTTTAAAAAAAAAGAGTACTTTGTGAGATCAGTGGGGGAAGGTTTTTACATATGGGGTATCAAGGAAAGCTTTGTGAAGAAGGTAGCTTTCAATGTGAGTTTTAAAGAGTAGGTAAGAATTCAACAGGCTCATCAAATAAAGTATTTTCCCCAGTTTTGAATATTAATTGAATTGTTAATTTGTTCACATACTACATAATTTGCAAAAGCTATTTTTAAAAAAGTCTTTTTACGATCATAAGAAGCCTGCATCTTTTTCTCTTGGTTGATTATGTGTAGAAATTTTCAATATTAAGGATGAGCATAAATAATGCACCTATTCTATTAAAAAGTCATTATTTCTTAGAGGTGTTCTCTGCTGTAGGACTTTCTATATAGCACTAGTATTCCTATGAACTTTGAATTTTATTTATTTAAATAGTTTGTTTAATAGTAACATTAATCTATTTGACTAAAAAGAATAAATTTTTGGAGAATAGGAAGAGGTCATAAATACGTGACTTATTTTCAAAATTCCTAAATTTCATTGACCTTTTCCCAGAGGTTTCATTTCACAGATGACTGTGTGAGACTTAGGGTTTTTGAAGTATCTATCATGTTAATGAGAACCTTGGTGTTGTCTTATTTTTCCCTCTCCATCACCTCTCATATCTAGTCATTTACCAAGTTCTGTCAATTCTACCCCCACAACATCTTTCATTTCTTTCTTCATTGCTATTCCTACTATTGGTGCTATGCTCTTTTAAACCCGAAATACCTGGGCTGTTCCAGTAACCTCTTAAATACTTAATTTAACTGCTCTTTCTGCTTCCAGTATTTCTGCGTCTCTCTTCCATCTTGCAAATTGCCACATTATCTTCCTTAAGTATGTATCCTTTCTCCTCTCAAAAATCTTCAGTGGCTGCCCATTGCCTACCAGGCAGAGTTCATTGTCTTTTACCTTACTTTCAAGACTCTTCGCAATCTGACACTGCCCTGTTTTCCCACACCCAACATTCCGTCTAAACCTAATTTCTCAGGCATTGCGCTCACCAGATTCCATTCCTTTGCTCATGCTATTTCCTTTTACTGGAATGATCTGCCCTTTTTTTCTTCTTTTTTTGCCTATTAATTTCTTACCCTCCATTAAAGTCTTTTAATTGTTACCTCCTCCATAAATTCTCCTGTGGTTCCCCTTTCAGTGACAACCTGTACCTCAAAATGTACCACTTTATTTTATACCTTTCTAATACATTTAGGATGTGACATTATGTATTTAAATTATGACTCCTCTTCCCAAACTGTAAATCCCAAGAGGTCAGGGATCATGTCTTATAAACTTGGAAACTTTGTGCCTCAGTGCCTACGCCTAGTACAGTGTTCTACACACATTAGTTGCTTAATAAATGTTTGTTGGATGAATGAATAAATTCCAGATTAAACACATGGTTTTATATATTTTAGGAGGATGAGACTGAAAAATCTGAGAGTGATGTGGCTGATGATGTCCCTGAAATCCAAGACACAGTGCAAGTCATACCTGGCAGTGAGCTTCTCTGGAGGATAAACACAAGGCCTCCAAATTCTTCTCAGGTAAATACATAGTGGAATAATAACACTTGGTTTATAAGGGTATTTCTGAGCATGTAATCCTAGTGTTAGTCATGTAGGGATACATAGTAGTTTAGTGCTGTTTTCATTTTTTAGGAAGAGGATGTAGGGAATAGAATCTGGAGGCACAGGGAAGATCTGAGAATGTAGGAATTGTGAAGTTTGGCCCTTGACAGGCTGGAGATGTATGGAGGTGCTTGGTCATGCTGTCTTAGAAAAACAGGGATATGTACTTGCATGCCTAATCTTAGGCTTAAATTGCCTGTCCTGAAACGGTTTTTGAGGGACTCTTGATTGTTAACCTGAGGTCCATGGACCCATGGAGTCAGTGAACTTGAATGAGGGGGAAAGTTACATTTTAATTTTCACTAATCATTGAAATTTAGCATTTCCTTCAGTTGCGAATGTAGGCAAGAAACATTTTGAGAAGGGGACCATAGGCTTAACCAGACTGACAAAGAAGTCTGTGACACCAAAAAAGAGTTAAGAAGCTTTGTTCTAAGGGTAGCTAGGTGGCTCAGTGGAAAAAGCACTGGCTCTGGAGTCAGAAGGACCTGGGTTCAAATACAGCCTTGGACACTTAACAGCTGTGTGACCCTGGCCAAGTCACTTAACTCTGATTGCCTCAAAAAAAAAGAAAGAAAGAAAGAAAAGTGTGCCATGTTTTGGAGCAGCTAAATGGCACAGTGAGTAGAGGACTGGCCCTGAAGGCAAGAGGACCTGAGTTCAAATCCTGCCTCAGACACATAACACTTACTAGTTGTGTGACCCTGGGTGAGTCACTTAACCCCCATTGCCTACCCCCCCCCCAAAAAAGAAGCAGCTGCAACTCTGTTCTAAAAATTAATTTTTCTGAGTTATTTTGAACAACAAAACATAATTTTCCTCATTTTTTTCTTTGTAATCCCAGCTCCTGGTCTAAAACCCATTTTGTTTCAAAATACTTTCTAGTTTTCCCAGGATTTCTTGTCAAATAAAGAAGTATTTTGCTAACATTTGTGTTCTTGGGTTAATCCCAACACAAGACCAGCACACTGAGTGCTTCTGGATCTTGATTAACTAGTTTTTTCTGATCTACTTTTCTTTCTTTCTTTGTTTGCTTTCTTTCTTTTTCATTTACTAAACAATTTTGATGATCTCTTTCATCCAGACTTGTGACATCATCACTGTAGGGAGCACATCCTCAGAAAATTGTCTCTAACCGATGAAGATCAGCAACTATTAGTTTTATAGGGTTTCTTGGAGCACTAAGAAGTTAAGGGATTTGCTCAAGGCTACACAGCCAGTATGTATTAAGGCAAAAATTGAATGCAAGTCAGCCTAAGATAATGGCTCTGTTCACACTATGTCATGCTACCTCTCATCTTTTAATGATTATTCTTTTAGAGTAAAAGTGTGGTATCTGGTAATGCTAGGCCCCTTTCATTCCTACTGTTTTTTTCCTTTCATTATTTCCCTTGATTCTAGACCTTTCAGTTTTCAAATATAATGTTTTTATTTTGTCTGGTTCTTTAAAGTAACTTCTTAGTAGTTTGGCAAAGCATTAAATTTGCAAAAATAACTGAAGTAGTATTGTAATTTTTGTTATATTAGTCCTGCCTATCAATAATGAATAACTTTTCAATTACTTTGTTTTCTTTCTGAAGAGAGTGTTTTACAATGTAATTATTCAAGTCCTGAGTGTGTCTTGGTAGGTTAATTTCCAAATGTTTTATGTATTTTATAGCTTTTTTGAAAGAGACTTTATAATTTCCTCTTATATAGAAATGCTGATAATTTTTTTATGGATTTATTTTGTATTTTGATAATTTACTGAAGCTATTGTTTCAATTAGTTTCTTCCCTAATTCTATGAAATCTAAGCACCCAGGTCATCTGCAAAGGGGAATCATTTCATCTCCTCTTTATTGATGTTTATGCACTTAATATTTCTCTCTTGCTTCATTATATTACTAGTATTTGTAGAATACTGTCAAATAATAATGAAAAAAGTAAATAATAACCCTTGCTTTACCAGTGTTTTATAGAACATATTTTAGCATTTCTCCATTCCAAATAATGCTAGTACTTAGTTTCAGATATGTGTTTTTAATTAAAATAAAGAAGGGCCCTTCTGTGCTTATGTGTTTAGGGTTTTTAAGATAAATGAGTACTGTATCTCAGTGAATGCTTATTTTGCAACTATTGCTATAATCATGTGTTTTTTGTTGATTTTGCTTAAAGCTATAATTTTAGTAGCCTGTGCTAGTAGAAAACTACAAATATTTTCATCTTAGGTTCAGTCATTAAAAGGAGCACGCTTAATATTTAATTCAACAAAAAATTATTAAGCACCAATTGAATTAGTGACCTAAACATAAAAAGGAATATCATTTTTAAAAATTAGAGAAGAGAAGGACATAGATGCTTTTGGATCTGTAGGTAAAAGAAGACTTTATCTAACTAATAAGGGATAGAAAAGATCACAAAAGACAAAGTAGATAATTTTGATTATAGAAAGTTAAAAGGTTTTTGTATGAACAAAATTAGTATGCTAGCACAAGAAAAGAAGCGCAAGAAATGGAGAGGGAGAGAAAAATCTTTGCAACAAATATCACTGATAAAAGTCTGATATCTAAGATATATAAGAAATTGACTCAAATACCTAAGAGTAAGAGTCATTCGCCAGTAGGTAAGTGGTCAAAGGATAAGAACAATTTTCAGAAGAAAGAATGCTGTCATCAATGATATAAAAATGTTGCAAAAATGACAAAAGATGGAAATAATGTTGGAGAAGCTATGGAAAGCCAGGCAAACTAATATACTGTTGAAATTATGAATTTATTTAACTGTATTAGATACAGCTTTTGAATTATTAAAATTAGTCAACTTTTCTCATCTTTTGACCCTCTAATTCCCCATGGGCACATACCCCGAAGATAAACATCAAAGATAGAAAAAAATAGTCCCCTGTTTAATGGGATCTTCAGAGTAGTACTTTTATGGTAGTATAAAAACTGGACCCAAAGTAGGTGTCCATTGATTGGAAAATGGCAGAACAGGTTGTGGTAATTGAATAGAACAGAGTATTATTGTATAGTAATAAGTGATGAGTATGTGGAATTGAGAAGAAGAATTGATGTAGTGCAGCAACAGAACCACGAGACCAGTATAGGCAGTTAAATGCAATAACCAATTTTGAACCTAGGCAACAGGTGATTAAATATCTAATTTTTATTTAAAACTCATTCAGAGAAATGTTTTTTATTATGGGGTTTTTTTTGGCATAATGATCTCAGCTTAAAAATTAAAATCTGGTATATAAAAATAAATGAGATTTATAGTAATTACTTTTTTCATGTGTATTTTTTCTCAGATGTATAATTTTACAAGTTTTACCGTGAGCCTCAATGAACTAGAAAAAGGCATGGAAAAGATTTTAGCTCCTACAGATTGCCGCCTTCGTCCAGATATCAGAGGCATGGAAAATGGTAACATGGGTATGTTTTTGTTGTTGAATTATTATAACCTTTTCTGTTTTTAGCTTCATGTTACATTCTTGCCCATGCTAAAATCATGCGGGCACTTCAGACAGAAAACTTTAAACTAGCAGTTCCCAGCCTAGTTAAAATAACCCAGAGTGTCTCCAAGGGATGTCATGTAATGTTGAAAAATAGATTTAATTTCCTAAAATTTCAAAAAAGTAAATAAATACCATTGTCCCTCTGCAAGCCCTTGTAACATACTTACTATGTGCCAGAAACTGTGCTGAGGGCTGGAGATACAAAAAAAAGTAAAAAATATAATCCCTGCCCTGGAGGAGCTTACATTCTGGTGGAGGAGAGAATATGTAATTAGGTAAGTACAAGATATATAGAGAGCAGATGGGAAGTAATTTTAAAAAGGCAGGCATCATCTGTTGAATGTACTGGGAAAGGCCACCTGCTGAAGATGAGCTTTGAACTGAGCCTTCGAGAAGGTATAAGGCAGAGGTGAGCCAACCACTTTTAGTGGATGGAGAGTACTTCAAACTCAAACAAAGCTGTGTTGGAGCATAGCAACTCCTCCAAAATTGGTCATCATTGCCGGCTTTGTTTATCTACCAAATTATCCCCCCATTGTTCTTCCTTGAGATCTGCAAACCTTTGTATTCAGCTCTTTCATTTATACTAGTAGCATGAAGTTTAATAAGGTACAGATGGTAAAGCTATTAATTATGTTTTAAAAAGGATAGAGAATCAAGAACAATGCCTTGTTATTGAAGTTTATTCTTTTGTGTCTCATACTTTTTGGTTGTACTTTTTAGTTTTATTATCATGAAATGTAGAACTGCCCATAATTTTCTAACCAAAATGAAATTTAATTTAGAGATTTGGAGTTTTCCAATTTAACCTTTTTTTTTAGCTTGGACTTTTCAAAAAAGAATATTAAAGCCAATCCTTTTTTCCATTACATCTACTCATTTATGATTTTTGTCTACATATATATACATGTATTATTTAGAAATGAATTCCTTCCATTCAGATTTATTTCTAAAGAGGTACTCATTTATCCTAGATTTAGCCAGTCAGGAGAAAGAAAGACTAGAAGAAAAGCAAAGAGAAGCCCGGAAGGAGCGTGCCAAAGATGAGGAAGAATGGCACACAAGGTAAGCTTTAAAGAGGACAGTGTCGGGGGCAGCTAGGTGGCACAGCAGATAGAGCTGTGGCCTTGGAGTCAGGAGGATGTGAGTTCAAGTCCAGTCTCAGACACATGACACTAGTTGTGTGACCCTGGGTAAGTCACTTAACCCCAACTGCCTTAGCAAAAATCCAAAAAAAAAGGAAAAAAAAGAGGATGGTGTCAAGAAACCAAATTGATATGTTTTGAGAAAAGTCTGTCTGGTCTGAACCTCTTTCTACTCAAATATATTATGACTTATTAACTAGAAAAAATGAATTAAAATCTTAAGAAACATCACTTATAGTCTAGCAACATGATGATGATGATGATGATGATGATGATGATGATGATGAATTCTTTGGTCTTAGCCACCCATGAAGCAAAAGTAGAAAATGATTCACTGTCCTGTACTGTGATGAAAAAGGGGTGCTTATTGTAAAGAACGAATCACGTTTAGTGCCTGTGGATTGTCACAGTGAAAGACAGTTTTGATGGCCACAGCAACTCTTAAAAGGTTTTTAACTTTTAGACCAATGCAGCTGTTAGTTTCCTAAATGGGAGCTTCTTATCTGACATGAGTGAGTCAGCACACTAGAAGAATGTCAATGTATACATTCTCATTCTTAATGAAACCAGAAGGTAGGAGAAAGTTGCAGCTTAAATGGAAGAATGGCTCCTGATTATCCTTGAAGAAGCACATAAAGGAGTTGGTTGAATTAGTTTCATTGTATATCCTAAGATAACAAGAAAAATAATTTCATGTGATAAATGTTCATTTTTTCTTGTAGTGCTCATGATAAGCATAAGTAAAATGACTAACATGAAGGTAGTTATTAATTATACACCAATATATATTGCAGAGAATGAGGTAGAGAAATTTTGTAAAAAACTCACTAAGACATTCAAGTTAAGTCAACATTTAGTTTTAATGCTCAGTGGCTTCAGTGCATAAGGAAAGATGGTAAAAAAAATGTGTTGGGAAATATGGTTCAGGTTTGAGAAACGATGCCAATAGCTTGTAAACTACACAGAAGGCTTATATCATAGATATTATTGTCAAGACGAGCCAGGAGGTACTAGACAGAATAAGCACTGAACAACTCCACAATCACAAATAATGAAATTGACTACATCTTAACAAACAGGAAACATTTTGACTGTCTGTGCACAGTCAACCTATAAGCTTTTTACAATCAGTATCAAAATAGAAGAAAAGATAAAAAATGAGAACCTGATATGGCATACAATTAAAACAACTTTTACATGAAATTTAAATAGTTCTAAACTTAGCTTACAGGCAGCTAAGTGGAAAGGTGGATAGAACTTTGGACTTAGAGTCAGGAAATCCTGAGTTCAAATTCAGATACTTACCAGCAGTGTGACCCTGGACAAGTCACTGGAGCAGTTTGTATTTCAAGTTCCTTATCTGTAAAATACAGATAATAATAATAATACCTACCTCCCAGTATTTTTATGAGGATAAAATGAGATTATATTTGTAATATGGTGCTTTACAAACTTTAAATCACTATATAAATGCTTGCTTTTGTTATTGTTACCTATTCAAACAAGCTATTAATGTTAAGAAATGGGAAATGGATAAAGGAAAAGTTATCAACACTAATCATCATAATTTCCTATGGACACTGATTGAGGCAAAAACACTCACTAGAATGAAGAGGCCAAATGGGGAACAATGGAACAAGCATTTATTAAGCACCTATTATGTTCTACACCAAGTGTTTTACAGATATTCTCTCATTGATCCTCACAACAACTGGGGGAGGTACATCCCATTATGTCCCATCCCCCCCACCCCATTTTGTAGTTGAGGAAACTGAGGCAGACAGAGGTTAAGGGTTTTGTCTAGGGTCACACAACCAATAAGTATCGGAGGCCAAATTTGAATTCATATCTTTCTGACCCCAGACCTAGTGCTCAGCACTCTATGCCGTGTACCACCTGGCAGCCACATCACCGTAGCCAGTCAAACAAGAAACATGGAAACAGAGGTGTGTAATATAAATTTACTTATAAAAATCTCTTAGGAGATAGTATAAAATTATGAGTAATAGCTCTGTACTCCAAAACAAGGAGAAATAAAAGAGGAAAAAAGTTTACAGAAAGCTTGGCATGAGACCCAGGTAAGTCAGATCCAAGCATTTAAAGATGAAAATAGGAGGATAATGAATAGATGATGAATGGAAGAGATTTGGCAACATAGCTATAGCAAATTATATTCCTCATCTTTGACAATGGAACCACCATATTTATTGTATGTGGAAGTAAAAATGGAAATGACATTAAATAAAACAAAAATAGGAAAAAAAACTTGAGCTGAACCAAATTCTCTCAATCCTTCCTTCCCCCTTCTCCCCCTTGAGAAGACAAACAATTTGATATAGATTATACATGTGCAGTCATGCAAAATATATTTCCAAATTAGCCATGTTAGGAAAGAAAACCGAGATAAAAACAAAACAAGAAGAATAAAGTTAAAAAAAAAACGTGTTGGGGCAGCTAGGTGGTGCAGTAGATAGAGCACCGGCCCTGAAGTCAGGAATACCTGAGTTCAAATCCGGTCTCAGACCAAACACTTGACACTTACCAGCTGTGTGACCCTGGGCAAGTCACTTAACCCCAACTGCCTTTAAAAAAAAGAAAAAGAAAAAGAAAGAAAAAAAGTTTGTTTTGATCTGCATTCAGACTCCATCAGTTTTCTGGTGGATAGCATTTTTCATCATAAGTCCTTCAGAATTGTCTTGGATCATTGTATTGATCAGAATAGCTAAGCCATTCACAGTTGGTCGTTGTACAATATTGCTGTTACTGTATACAGTGTTCTAGTTCTGCTCACTTTACTTTGCATCAGTTCTATATAAGTCTTCCCAGGTTTTTCTGGAAGTATCCTGCTCGTCATTTCTTACAGCATAGTAGTATTCCATCAGAATCATATAATACAACTTGTTCAGCCATTCCCCAATTGATGGGAATTCCTTTAATTTCTAATTCTTTGCCAGCACAAAAAGTATTGCTATAAATATATTTGTATATATAAGTCCTTTTCCTTTTTTTTTTAAATCTTTTTTGGGATATAGACCTAGGAGTGGTGTATTGCTTGTGTCAAAGGATATACACAATTTTATAGCTCTTTGGGCATAGTTCCAAATTGCTCTCCAGAATGGATGGACTAATTCACAAGTCCACCAACAGAGCATTAGTATTCCAGTTTTTCCATATTCCTTCCAACATTTGTCATTTTCCTTTTCTGTCATATTAGCTGGTCTGTGAGGTGGTACCTCAGAGTTGTTTTAATTCACATTTCTCTAATCAATAGTGATTTAGAGTATTTTTTTCATATGACTATAGATAGCTTTGATACCTTCTTCTGAAAATTACCTGTTCATATCTTCTGATCTTTTATCAAGTGGGGAATAACTTGTGTTTTTATAAATTTGATTTAATTCTCTATGTTTTAGAAATGAGGCCTTTATCAGAGAAACTTGCTATAAAAATTTTTTCCCCCTTGTTTCCTGCTTTCCTTGTAAACTTGGCTGCATTGGTTTTGTTTGTGTAAACCCTTTTTACTTTAATCAACATTATTCATTTCACATCCTATAATGCTCTCTGTCTCTTGTTTGGTCATAAATTCTTCCCTTATCCATAGATCTGACAGATGAAATTTTCTGTGCTCTCCTAATTTGCTTATGATGTCACCCTTTATGTCTAAATCATGTATCCACTTTGACCTTATCTTGGTATCTGCTGTGAGATGTTGGTCTATGCCTAGTTTCTGCCAAACTACTTTCCGGTTTTCCCAGAAGTGTTTTGTTTTTTTTTTAGAATAGTGAGTTTTTGTCCCCAAAGCTGGAATCTTTGCATTTATTAAACACTAGATCACTATGGTCATTTACAACTGTGTATTGTATACCTAATTGTAATCCACTGTTCTGTTTCTTAGCCAATACCCAGATGTTTGGGTGATTCCTGCATTGTAATACAGTTTTAAATCTGGTACTGGTAGGCTACCTTCCTTCACATTTTTTAATTCATTGCCTTAATATTCTTGACCTTTTGTTCTTCCAGATGAATTTTGTCATTTTTTCTAGGTCTATAGAATAATTTTTTGGTAGTTTGATTGTTATGGCAGGCATTAATCTAAATAGTAATCTGAAAGAGGGACATACCAATTTATTTGAAAAAATAATGAATGTTTCCCCCCCAATAAATCAATGTAGGAGATATCAAAGGATAATAAATTTAGAACTTTAATGACCTTAGATGACGTTCACCCACCTTATTTTACAGACTGGGCAATTGAGGCACAGCAAAATTATGATTTGCCAAAGGTTGCACAGCTAATAAGTGGCAGATTCTGGATTTAAGCCCAGCTGCTCCAGCTCTATCTAATGTTTCCACCAACCAATGTTTATGAAAGTGGTCTACACGTGTATTAAAAGTATTCTTGGTAAAAATATGAAAAAGGAATAGGCAAGCTTTCAGAAAGGATGTTTTACAGCAGACCATTTCTTAATTGTCATTACATAATTGACTGCAAGATGCAGAGGGTACAAGATTCCACTATATTTCTTATTTGTTGTCTAAAAAAATTTTTTTGGCAAAACAAAAACTACCCTGAAAGCTCTCTTCAAACAATATGTCTGTTAAGCTTCTACAAATTTGCTTGCTAACTGGAACAGTAGGGTTAATTTCCACTCATCATATTAAAGAAGAAATAGAACAGAGAAGTGTGTGTACCAAAACTGTTTGCCAATGGAAACTGTCTAGTGCCAGCCAACAGAGAGATGCTCAATAGTCCAGGAGATTTTCCTGTTTGCACATGGCATTGCTTTACTTAATGAGATACATAACCATTCAAAATAGTTTAGCTTTACTCTCCACATAGGTAAAATCAAGTGGATGAAAAATGTGCATTATCTGTATTGTGATGTAAAACTGGACAGACATCAGACTCTGCAGATGAAGTCTGCATGGCCAAGAGAGAATGAGGGGGCCAGGATAGTGGAGGAAATTAAACCAAACTTTCAATGGTCCCTTTCAATGGTTTCCTGAAGCAAAGTCCCCTCATCCACTTACTGTGTGACTGTGAGTTGTGGAACACTTCATTCTCCAAAGAATTGCTGGTGACTCCAAGGGAAATAAAGAGATCCATGGGGGGCATCAGTGGGCTGTATCATATTACCAGGGAATGGCTTGTGCACAGAAGCAACATGAAATACCAATCAGGAGATAATAACCAGAAAATGTGGTAGACTATGTCGCAATGATAATGATGATAATAAGACTACCTAGCATTTATATAGCACTCCTATGTGTCAGGCTCCATGCTAAGTGTTTTGCAAATAGTATCTCAATTGATCTTCACAACAGCCCTGGGAAATAAGGGCTATTGTTGCCCCATTTTACTATATTAAGTGTAGTAGAATCCTGTTGTAACACTCAAAGTAATTGAGAGATTTGAATATGCCACAAATCAAATCATGTCCCTTGATATATACAGGTAGAAACCCAATATGGATAGATAAAAGCTTCTATTAAGAACTTACCATGAACTGAGGGAATTGTGAGAATTGTGTGAACCAAACTGACTTCATCTTGTAACCCAATTCTGGATCTGCCTCAGTTCCCTTTCTATTCAGTTACCAGTCTAGTTCAATTTCTGTCTTATAAGAAAACTTCATTCAATTGTGGAAATTTTGAGAAAACTTTAATGTATGGGATGAACCTAGTCTTGCATGGCTAGGAAGCTGGACCACTGCTACCTGTTGCTTGGAGACCCTTAACTAAGGATCTAGGATTCAGGGGTGGGAAACCTGTGACCTCAAGGCCACATGTGGCCCTCTAGGTCCTAAAGTGTGGCCCTTTGACATACTAGGTTATGCTGACCAGAAACCCAGTCAGAACCAAAGACTGATTCAAGGAGTTTTCTCACAATTATACATCTCAAGCAACCTATATGTCTTATCTGAAAACTGATCCCATGCTGGTCAATCAATTACTATTTCCTTGTTCTTTTTTATTGAATTTAGATACTTAGGTAGGAGTAGGACACTTCTTTTTTTTTGTATTTCAAGGAATTGCACCTGTTCACTTTCCCCTTCTGAATCTGGAAAATCCCTAATCTTCCCTCCAGTTAGAAATTAGATAACTTAATCTTGTATTCTGGGTTATATCCTGTTCATTTTTTCTTTTAATGCACAAAAATCTGTCTCTCCCTGCATTTGTGGTCCAGTGCCAAGCTGAGGAGGCCTGGTCCTGATTTGTTATGCAATTGGTATATATTGCCTAATAAATCAAAATGTTTGGAAGCTTGAACCTTTGTTTCCTCAATCATTTCAATCAATTTACACACTACAGAACCAAGCTTGCTAAGTGCCTTGTGTGTGTCTATATGTGTGTGTGTGTGTGTGTGTGTGTGTGTGTGTCTATACACACACACACACACACACACACACACACACACTCATATTCCCCTACCCCAGTGTTTTGAGTTTGACTCTTTTTTTGTCATTGTTAAACAGTCATATTCTGAAATTAAATGATTTAGTTCATTGTAATGTATTAAGTTTCAGGTTTTGAAATATAGATTATTATAAGGTATTTGAATATTTCTATTTTCTACACAAAGTATTTTTGAATATTTGTTTTTTCTACACCCTCCTTCCCCCATAGTTTAAATATTTTAAAGTATTTAAAGATTTAAGTATTTTTCCGCCACTGCAAGATCCAGTAAAAGTTAATGATATTCCCTTGACTAAAATGTTCTGAAATCAGTCCTTGGTTCCTAGGACGAATCCCCTTTGTACGTTATTCTTTTAAAAGCCCAAGATTCATGTTTGAATGCTGCATTTTATATCAGATAGGTTAGTAATTTAATCATCAAATTGTACTTTTTATTTCTTAACTCTTGAAACTTAGGAAAGCATCAGTTTTTGGTTTTTTAATCCAGAAACAGACTGAAAGAACATGCATGCAGTATATTAATACGGTCAGATTTGTTTCATCCTTAGAACTAAGTAAACACTTCTTTTGTTAGGACATTTGAACATGTTTAATGGGGTTTTTGTGTATGTGATTATCTTCAGTTTCATAGTTTCACTGGATTAGGAATGTAATATTAAATGCATGAAAATGAAAGAATTTTGCTTTACTAATCTATTAAATTCTTAATTAAAAGGCTGGAAGACTCTAAAACAATGATGATTTCTTGTTTAGCCCAGGGTAAGCTGTCCCAGAGTGGAGTGCATGCTGAGATCCATATAGCTTCTCCCTTGGATCTTTTGACAAAGTACTTTATACTTTTCTTGAGGAGAAGATAGAGAGGGCTGAATTAAGTGAGAAGGCAGTCACGTGGATTCAGAAATGGTGAGATAGCCTCATTCAAAGAGTAATCGGTAATGGTTCAGTTTCACTGTGGCAAGAGGTGTCTCTAGGGAAGCACCCTAAGGATCTTTGCTTAGCTCTGTGCTGTTTAATGTGTTTACCAGTAATAGTCTAATCATCAAATTTGCAGATACAAAGCTGGGACAGATAGTTCCAAAGGGATCCAAAAGGATGTCCAGAGTATTAATGCCATATCTACTAAAACAAAACTCAGTAAGGATAATTGTAAAGTTTTGAACTTGGGTAAAAGAAATCAACTTACAAACATAAGACAGAGGAAGAATGAGCAGATAGCAGTACTGAAAAAGATCTGGGCATTTTGGTGAATTGGCAGCTCAGTATGAATTAGCAGTGTGATGTGCAGCCAAGTTCTGGGAACAGGTAAGTGAGAGTGCCCCTGCACTCTGCCCTCTTAACACGTGGCTGGAGGGCAGTGTCCAGTGCCAGGCATTACTGAGAAGGGACGTTGGCAGATTGGAAAGGGTCCAAAGGGGAACCATTGAAATGGTCAAGGGCCCATGTCATGTGAGAATGGATTGAAGGAACTGGTATGTTTTTAGCCTTCAGAAGAGAGGACTCTGAGAGGATAGGATAGCTGTCTGCAAGAATTTGAAAGGCAGTCATGTGGAAGAGGGATTAGATTTGTTCTTTTTGGCTGAGGTGAGGAGGGGCAGAGCAATGGTTCGAAGTTGCAGAGAGGACACTTGGGATTGAAGGCAGGAAAAACTTTAACACTGACCAAAAATGGAGTGAGCTTCCTCAAAAGGTTGTGTGTTCTCTTTCCTTGGAGGTCTTCAAGTATATATTGGACAACCACTTCTCATATATGTTTTAGTAGATATTCCTTTCTTGTATGAGATGGTATTTATAAAAGCACTTATAAAAGTTTGTTCTCTTCCCTTAAGCAAATAGCACAGAATAGGACTAATCTATTTTCAGCAGCTTAAATGAAAGTAAGCTAGACCAGGTTTAGACCTTGAGGATGTCCCTGAGGGCTGTTGATTTAGTCTAAAATATTGTGATTCCTTTGTTATTGGAGATTCCCTGTATCTTCTGCCTCTGGGCCAACTACCGTCTGCTCATCCTGAAATCTGATGTGGTTTCAAGGAAACAACATTCCTGTCGTTTTGTTTAGATCCCAAGCCTTAAGTTTAAAATAACTATGGACTGTATTTTTTTTCTTATTGCCTTTATTTGCAAATTTATGAAAATTCTTAAGGTAATATTATTAAAGAAACTTTTATCTTGTGAAATTAATTTTATATTTAGATAAATATATACATGCATGTAATATAGCTGAACATTTTGTAAATCATTGTGTTGCTAATAGTTCTACATTTAAACAGAAATGTCAATAAACCTCATTGGATTTATTTGCTGTTTTAGGCTGCAATTTTTTTTTTTAGAGATCATTTGAGGGAGAACTGAAATTGTAAATAGTAGGAAAATCAGCTATCTCAGCTTTCATAGGATAAACATCTAGAGCCAGAAGGGAACTCAGAGGTCATCTCTTCCAACCTCATCATTTTGTAGATAAGCCTAAGGCTGAGTCAATTCAGAAATAGTTTTCTCCTTCAATAAAATGTTTTCTTATCAATCTTTATTTTCTACAGGTGGTTTTATCAAGGCATCAATCCATATACTGGGACTTCTGACTGGCTATATTCAGGTGGATACTTTGACAGAAATTTCTCGGACTGCCCAGATATATACTGAGCCATTGGAACAGATTCTTCAGGACATGGGGACATGGAGGAGTCACACCCCACTTCAAGCCAGCTCCTCTGGTTTTGTTAATAGCAGAAACCAGCTTTTATAACAGCAATTTTAATGGAAATAGCATCATTCACTGATCAAGGATTTAATTCTTATTAATTTTTTGATTGCCAAAAATTTAATTACTATTGTGTTCTCTTCATAAAGCTGCACTTGAATCATCAAGTTTTCACTAAGTTTTAAAAAGGAAAATTCTTTGTGATTCCCTTTTATGTGACAGAAGTTGACTTTGGCTGGTTTAGTTTACAAGCACCCTCTTAACTATGTAACAGCATTTAAAGAAGTAACAGGAAGACGTTGGTGTTTCTACTTGCAGTGAAGTAAAAAAGGGTTTCTTCACGTATTCCAAAGTTGAACCAGTGACAATAAATAAGTATGAGAGGGGAAGAGATGGCTGTTGGAAACTATCCACAGAGGTATGAAAGACTGAAGTAAAGAACTCCTCATAAAATGATGGTGATCCAGAGGTGAATATATACCAAACACAGAATGTCAGACTGAATTGAATAAAAAGCTGCCAAATTACATATTTTGTCATTTGGGGGTACTGTAAGCATTACTTAACAAATACTAATGACAAAACAACTAAATTAGCATTTTGGTCACAAGCAAGGTATGCATTAATCAACATCTGTGTACTATCCAAAGTAAAACATTATCGTTACAATATAGAATGATTAAAAATGTTGACAGAAACATGGAAGAAAAACACCCAAGCTGCTTTTGACCGTGTATGGAAAAAGTCAAGCCTTTAGAGTTTGGTACTATTTATATTCTAGATTGACTTTTCGTTCCTGGAAAGAGCATTTGCCTCTAGTGTCTGGTCAGTTTGGAAAGCGCTTTGTATGTGTTCATAGAATCATTGTGTTTTTTTCCCCTTAATATGCATGTTATAAAACATTACAGAATCACATCTGATTGTTGGAGGGCAGGGGGGTAGGGGAGGGCAGAATTTACTTAAAATGGTGTAACTAGAATTATTTAAGAAATAATAAGTATAATATCTGTCTAAGCACATATAGTCATCAAAGTGACTTATTTTTCTTTGTGTAGAAATGTCAAAGCCATATAATGTCAGAGCTATTTGAATTGCGGATCAATTTATTGTATATATGTGTATATATATACACACACACACACACACACATATATATATATACATATATACATAATGTTATTGAGTTAGGTTACAAAGGCATACATTTTTGAAGAAAAGGGATTATAGTTTTGTGTTTGGCTTGAATATTATGTTTGCAATTAAAACACTTTTTAAAGCCAAGACTTGTTTTGAAAGCTTTTAATTTGGTAACCATTAGAAACTGGAAAGCAGCTGTGTAGTCATTCAAAGATGGCTGCTGTTCCCTATGCCAACAACTTTACATATTCTTAAAATGAACTTGAAGGTTGATTTCTAAATGCATTTGAGGATTCTTGTACATGATATTTTTCCACAAAGTAGGTTTTGAAGTATCTGCTAGTATAAAACACAGTAAAGAAGGCAGGGGGGGATATTTTGTGTGTGCGTAAAGCCAGGCACTTCAAGTGAGGAAAGTTACAGTCATGGTGGGATCATTGTCTAAGCATGCAGGTAAGTCATACAAATCAAAGACAAATAAAGATATGTGCCCAAAGTACATTCACATTTGCTGTATTTTGGGGGCAATGAACAACATTTTATTTATCTTGCTGTTTTGAAGAGAGAAGCAGCATGGCAAAGAAAGCTAGCATCAAAGCCCAAAAGCCCTGATCTTGAGTCCTGCCTCTGACACACATTGGCTGTGACTTTGGCAAGTCATGTAACCTCTCAGTGCTCTAGGCAACTGGAAAGCTATAAGTTACAGAGAAGATGCATCCTGCTTTGGTAGAGGGAGTTTCCTCACCTGGGAGTTCCCTGTGCCAGTAAAAATCACAGGTCCAATAGAATCCTTATCCTAATCCCTAGCCATAACAAAAGTGAGTTCTTTATATTGTCAGATAATCAACCTTGTAATAAATAATTTGGTATTTGGAGGGCTTGAAGAGGCATAATTAAGATGATGTAGCCCTGCTAAAGATACTGGTTCCTACGTACTTTCTTTTAAAATAAAAAGAAAGTAGCAAAGGATGTTAATAAGGTTTTAATCACTATTTTATATTTCTTGTTTAATGCTTCTTTTTTCATACCCATACCTATAAAATGCTTAACATGTGAAATAGTGACACCTAAAGTTTATCATCATTCTTGTGAAACATTAGGATAAAGCAAAATGTTCTTTTATTAGAATTTTAATGATAAAGGTTCTTTTAAAGTATGATCATGCTTTCTAATGATGTGATTTTTAGCTTATGCAAAAATTGTGTATTTGTATTTTGAATACTGACATATGTTTAGTAGACATTTATAAAAATCCCCCAGATTTCATTATTTTGCAAAATAACATGTTCATGATTAGGTCAAAACAATTGCATTAGATACCTTAAAATATCTTTAGACTACATCCCTTACTCCTAACTGAGCCTAATTTTTTTGGTCATTTTTCCCAATTGAAACTAAAAATCAGGCCACATTGTTGATTTTTCTCTAGGCATAATTACTGTATGCTTCTGTATAAACTGCAAATTAGTTTTGTTGAGCCATTCAATGTTTCGTAGATTTAACAAAAAGTTGTCTAATATCTAGGAAGACTGGACAAATTTTTCTTTTGTTTTATTTGACTTTAATATTGTTTACATTATAGTGGCCAACACAGTATTTGTATGGGGTAGCCTGGTGGGTCTTCCTAAGTGAAAGACTGCTTTCTAAAAGGAGCTAAAGCCAAGGACACAGTGAGGTCCTTAAGAATAAGCAGCACTTTTACCTTGGGAGTACTTGCCTCAGTTCAGGGAGATAAAACTGACGGAGAGCATGGAAGTTTGTACTCCTCATCCCCGCCTTGCCTCTAAGGCTGCCACAGAAACCAAGACACCTCCAAAATACTTCATACCTCTATAAAAGGCCTGTAAGTGAAACAATGTGATTTTGGGAAAGAGTGCCAAAATACTTTGTGGTTCTTGAGACCTTAAACATAGACCGATTATAAATGTATGTTACAGTTCCCTGACACAGAGAAATAGAAAAAACAAAACAAAACCAAATAGATCGGCACCAAGGATACATTTAGTTGTTTGCACTTTGCAGGAATACTTGGAAGATGAACTTTCCTTTTTCCTTGCTCATAATTTTCCTTTTGCATGTTCAGACTCATATTCTTCCTGAAATAGCCCATCTGATGTAGTGAAAATGAATTCCAAATATCAGGATGGCTTTAGTGAAGAATGTAATAGGGAAAAGCATCCTGGGAAGCCTCTTGTTCACCATTTTTGCCCCTTAAGAACATTCACCAAATGTCTGTTAGTGTTGTTATGTAATAATTGTTGGAACAACCCTTCTATTACCAGCAAGGAAAGCTATTGAGCCATGGTGAATGGAATGCTTGCCAGGCCGAGTTGCTGTGTCTTAGTGCCTAGTAGGTCTAATAATGAAATGTGAAACAGAATAAAATCAATGGAAAAAAAGATCTGCTCACACTTTTTTTGGAAAATGTCTTGCAGAAACAACTTAAGAGGTAGCTGGTCTAGTGGAAAGAACCCCAGAATTAAAGTGAGAAGACTGAGGTTTAAATCCTGCTTCTGCCACTAACTTGCTTTGTGATCTTGGGCAAGTCACTTGCCCTTTCTGGGCCTCATTTTTCCCCACCTAAGGACCTTTCCAGTTCTAAATTTTATGATCCTGTAATTTTGGAGTCTTCTGTCTTTGGGAAAAGACTAGAAATGAGGGACATGTTTAAGTTATTTAGAAGTTTCAAATCGGTAAAAGCTTTCCAGGGTTAAAAATATCCTTGTTACTTCTAATCTTGGGTGCTAAGTTTTCTATCTTAGGATTTAAAAAGTGGATGTGAAGCAGTGTGTCAATAGAAGAGAAAGAGTCATCAATGGAAAAATCTTTGGAAAATCCTGATTTTCTTATGCCTCAACATTTGGGTTTTTTTTTTTAATCTTCCAAAGATCTTTTCTATAACCTAAATGGTTACAAAAGACTTTGGATCACCAGTATATAGCCTGCTGGTAGTTGACACATGATAACATGGTTTGTAATTATAGGCACAGCACACTAATTCACTCTTTTCTAACATTTCTTAAATTTATTCTGTTTCTATTATCTTCTACGTACTTACTGTCAATTTTTTTCCAACATGAAAGCACCACTCCTTTTTCATCCCTTGGTATGAAGGCTAAAGAACAACACGTAATTTGGTAAATTGTTACTTCGCCTCTTTTGAAGGAAAGTAAAACCATGTATCTTGGGGCAATGGTATACTTGAGCAATACTTAATTCTCTGTAAAGTGAGTGGATAGAACACAGACAATTGATTTGGGTATGTTTTTATAGCATGTGGAAAAAAATATGCTTTTGCTTCTACCCAGAATGCCAGCACACATCCTGAGTTACACTCTTATGGAGCCGCTTTTTTTGCCTTACATAACTGCTGTGCTTGGTTGATTCTTTCAAACACTGTGTTCATTTAATCAATGTTGCATGAAAATGTCAGACTATGAAAATGCTTTAGTGAAATGGATTTATTTTTATAATATTTAATAACTGTCAATACCCATCTATATTAACAAAATCAGTCATACTTTAGCTTTTTGGAGGAGTATGTACAGGTTTGTGGAGATGAATGTTAAAACCATAGATCTGAATAAAGGTCCTTTTGAAGAAGATCAGTTGTGTTTGGCATTTACTTTTTAGTATAATTTTTTTAACCATTTCAAGCTGTTTTCTCCTTTAGGGAAACATTTAAAAATCTGCTGCAGATAACTTACTTTGCCTTACCTATATTTGGACTATTTATTTTTGGGGGGGCAGCATAAACAAATGGATTGTTTTGTAGCAGTGCTTGACATGGTTGTAAGCAGATTAGAAAATGCTTAATAATACCTTTTTGTTAACCAAGTGTCACGGATGAACGTGCCTCAGAATTCTTAGGACAGCAATGATTTATATTAATAATTCATTCTTTCTCCTGAGGGTCATGTTTTGTTGCTGAAAGAAATCAAATATGCCCAAATATTTATTATTGTTATTAATTCAAAAGTTGTAATCTTAGAATTCTTCCCAGAATAGTTCTAAAAGGAACTGTTAGAACTCCAAATATATTGCTTCTTCATCCCCTCCAAAGTTCCATTTCTCTATGCAATGGCTATGCAATGGCAACATAAGGTAGAAAACAGGTCATGATACTGTTATTACACTTGTGCTGTTGTGGCCACCTTTATTTTGGGCCAAACCAAAGTTTGGGTTTTTTTAAATTTTTGATTTTTTTTTAGTATAATGCCTTTTAAAATTATTATTTATTTGTTTTTAACATTCTTTTTTTTTAAATTTGAGTTCTCAGTTCTCTCTCTGCTCTCTACCCATTGTGATGGCAAGAAATGCAGTATCAATTATACATGTGAAATCATGCAAAACATTTCCATGTTAGCCATGTTGTGAAATGAAGAAGTGA